AATGATTGTAAAGATACTCACTGGGCTTGAGAAAAGAGTGGAGGATATCAGTGAGACTGTTAACAGAGAGATAAAAAAAGAACGAAAGATGAAGAACACAATAAATGAAATTAAAAATACTCTGGATGGAATATATAGCAGGCCAGAGGAAGCAGAAGAGCTAATTAATGACCTGGAAGATGGAGTAATGGAAAGTAATTAAGCTGAGCTGGTGAGAGAAAAAAATTATGCAAAACGAGAATAGACTTTGGGAATTCAGTGACTCCATCAAGCATAACAACATGCATGTTATAGGGATCCCAGAATAAGAGAGAAAAGGGGGCAGAACATTTATTTGAAGAAATAATAGCCGAAAACCTCCTAAATCTAGGGAAGGAAACAGATATCCAGATGTAGGAGGCAGAGATTCCCCCAAGAAAATCAACACAAGGAGGTCCATACCAAGACACACAGTAAATAAAGTGGCAAAATACAGTGATAAAGAAAAAAACGGGGGGGGGGCACCTGGGTAGCTCAGGTCATGATCTCAGAGTCATGGGATCAGGCCCCACATCAGGCTCTGCACTTAGTGTGGAGTCTACTTGAAGATTCTCTCCCTCTGCCCCTCCCCCCTCTCACACACTCTCTCCCTAAAATAAATAAAAGCAGCAGAGAAAAGAAGACAGTTACACACAAGGGAAACCCCAATCGGCTACCAGTGAATTTTTCAGCAGAAATTTTGCAGGCCAGAGATTGGCATGATATATTCAAAGTGCTGAAAGAGGGACGCCTGGGTGGCTCAGTCGGTGAAGCGTCTGCCCTTGGCTCAGGTCATGATCCCTGGGTCCTGGGATTGAGTCCCGCATCAGGCTCCCTGCTCACTGGGGAGCCTGCTTCTCCCTCTCCTCCTGCCACTTCCCCTGCTCATGCTTTCTCTCTGTCTCTGTCAAAAAAAAAAAAAAAAAAAAGTGTTGAAAGGTTAAAAAAAAAAAACCTGCAGACAAGAATACTCTATCCAGCCGGGCTGTCATTCAGAATAAGGAGAGATAGAGTTTCTCAGACAAATGAAAACTAAAGGAGTTCATGACCACTAAATCAGCCCTGTAAGAAATATTAAAGGGGAGATGCCTGGGTGGCTCAGTCGTTGGGCATCTGCCTTCGGCTGAGGTCATGATCCTAGGGTCCTGGGACTGAGTCCCACATCGGGCTCCCTGCTCTTCGGAGAGCCTGCTTCTCCCTCTCCCTCTCCCTCTGCCACTCCCTCTGCTTGTGCTCTCTCTCTCTCTCTGACAAATAAATAAATTTTAAAAATCTTAAAAAGAAAAGAAAAGAAAAGAAAAATATTAAAGGGGACTCGCTCAGTAGAAAGGAAAGACCATAACTAAGCGTATGAAAAGGAGGAAACACAAAAGCAGTAAAAATAAATATATCTGTAAAAAATCAGTCAAGGGAGTCACAGAATAAAAGGAAGTAAAGTATGACACCATATAGGTAAAACGTGGGGAGGAGTAAAGAATGGGTTCAGGCTTAAGGAATCAGCAACTTAATACTGACTGCTATATGCAGAAGATGTTACATAAAAACCTAATCGTAACCACAAATCAAAAACCAGGAATAGATGTGCAAAAAATAAAGAAAGAAATTCAAGTATATCACTAAAGAAAGCCAGCAAACCTTGAAAGAAAGAAAGAGAAGAAAGGATCAGAGAAGAATTATAAAAATAACCACAAAACAAGTAATAAAAAAAACTCCCAAAAAACAAAAGTCCAGGACCAGATGGCTTCACAGGTGAACTCTACCAAACATTTAGAGAAGAGTTCATACATATTCTTCTCAAACTATTCCAATAAATAGAAGAGGAACTCCAAACTCATTCTGTGAGGCCAGCATTACCCTGATACCAAAAGCAGACAAAGACATCACTAAAAAAGAGAACTACAGACCAGTATCTCTGATGCATATAGATGCAAAAGTCCTCAACAAAACACTAGCAAACTGAATCCAACAAAATATTTTAAAAAATCATTCACCACAACCAAGTGAGATGTATTCCTGGGTTGCTAGGGTGGTTTAAATATTCACAAAACAATCAACATGATACATCGCATCAACAAGAGAAAGGATAAAAACCATACAACCATTTCAATAGATGCAGAAAAAGCTTTTGACAAAGTATAACACCCATTCAGGATAAAAAACCCTCAACAAAGCAGGTCTAAAAGAAATATACCTCAACATAATAAAGACCATATATGAAAAACCCACAGCTAACACCATACTCCATGGGGAAAAACTGAGAGCTCTCCCCATAAGGTCAGGAACAAGACAAGGATGTCCACTCTCATTACTTTCACTCAACACAGTACTGGAAATCTCAGCCTCAGCAATCAGACAACATAAAGAAACAACAGGCATCCAAATTGGTTAGGAAGGAGCAAATCTCTATTTGCAAATGACATGATATTATATACAGAAAACCCTAGACACTCCACGAAAAAAACTGTTAAAACTGATAAATGAATTCAATAAAGTCAAAGGGTATAAAATCAATGTACAGAAATCTGTTGCATTCCTATTCACTAATAATGAAACAGCAGAAAGAGAAATTAAGAAAATAATCCCATTTACAACTGCACCAAAAATAATAAGATACCTAGGAATAAATCTAACCAAAGAGGTAAAAGACCTCTACTCTGAAAACTGTAAAACACTGATGTAAGAAATTTAAGATGACACAAAGAAATGGAAGACATTCAATGCTCATGGGCTGAAGAACAAATATTGTTAAAGTGTCCACACTACCCAAAGCAACCTACACATTTAATGCAATCCCTATCAAAATACCAACAGCATTTTTCACAGAATAAACAGTAACAATAAAGAATAAAGAATCCTAAAATTTGTATGGAACCACAAAAGGACCCAAATAACCAAAGTCATCTTGAAAAAGAAAAACAAAACTGGAGGGATCGCAATTCCAGACTTCAAATTATATTACTCAAGTTATATTGTTTGTAGTCATCAAAACAGTATGGTACTGGCATAAGTAGATACCATAGATCAGTGGAACAGAATGGAAAACCCAGAAATAAACCCACAATTATATGGTCAATCTTTGACAAAGCAGGAAAGAATATACAATGGGAAAAGGATAGTCTCTTCAACAAATGGTGCTGGGAAAACTGGACAAGCCACATGCAAAAGAAGGAAACCAGACCACCTTCTTATAGCATGCACAAAAATAAACTCAAAATGGATGAAAGACCTAAATGCGAGACAGGAATCCATCAAAATCCTAGAAGAGAGCACAGGCAGTAACTTCTCTGACATTGTCCATAGCAACATCTTTCTAGATCTGTCTCCTGAGGCAAGAGAAACAAAAGCAAAAATAAACTATTGGGACTTCATCAAAATAAAAAGTTTTTGCACAGCGAAGGAAACAATCAACAAAACTAACAGACAACCTACAGAATGGAAGAAGACATTTGCAAATGACATGCCCAACAAATGGGTTAGTATCCAAAATACATAAAGAACTGATACAACTCAACACACCAAAACCAAATAATCCAATTAAAAAATGGGCAGAAGACATGAACTTACATTTCTCCTAAGAAGATACAGAGATGGCCAATATACATGAAAGGATGCTCAACATCACTCATCATCAGGGAGATGCAAATCAAAATCAAGTCACACCTGTCAGATGGCTAAAATCAAAACCACGAGAAACAGTGTTGGAGAGGATGTGGAGAAAGGGGAACCTCGTGCACTGTTGGTGGGAATGCAAGCTGGTGCAGCCACTCTGGAAAACAGTATGGAGTTTCCTCAAAAAGTTAAAAATAGAACTACCCTACGATCCAGCAATTGCACTTTTGGATATTTACCCAAAGAATACAAAAACACTAATTCAAAGGGATACGTGCACCCTGATGTTTATTGCAGCATTATTTACAATAGCCAAACTATGGAAGCAGCCCAAGTGTCCACTGATAGATGAATAAAGAAGATGTAGTATATGTAAAATGGAATAGTACTTGGCCATAAATACGAATGAAATCTTGCCATTTCCAACAACATGGATGGATCTAGAGAGCATAATGGTGAGCGAAATAAGTCAGAGAAAGACATATACCTAAGTACAGAAAACACACCGATGATCACTCGAGGGGAGGAGAGTGGGGGGCAGGGGGACACAGGGTATGAGGATTAAGAGCACACCATCACGATGGGCACTACGTAATGTACAGAACCGCTGAATCACTACACTGCACAGCTGAAACTAATATAACACTGTATTTTTTTTTTTTAAGATTTTATTTATGTATTTGACAGCGCACACAAGCAGGGGGAGGGGCAGAGGGAGAGGGAGCCCGATGCAGGACTCGATCCCAGGACCCTGGGATCAGGACCTGAGCTAAAGGCAGACGCTTAACTGACTGAGCCCCCCAGGCGCCCTGTAACACTTTATGTTAACTACCCTGGAAGTAAAATTAAAAACTTAATATAAAATAAAAAGAGGAAGGTGGTCCTGTCCCCGAGGGACCTCTCCCTACACCCACCGCCGAGGAAAGACAGAGGCACAGATGAACTGTCCTGTGACAATCAAGAACTGAACTGTAAAGCAGGACTTTCTACTAAAAAGGACAGGCAGGGGGTGGAGGGGAGGGGCGCCTGGGGGGCTCAGTCGGTTAAGCGTCTGCCTTCGGCTCAGGTCATGATGCCAGGGTCCTGGGATCGAGCCCCACGTTGGGGGGGTCCCTGGTCAGCGGGGAGCCTGCTTCTCCCTCTCCCTCTGCCCCTTCCCCCTGCTCCTCTATCTCTACCAAATAAATAAATAAAACCTTCAAAAATAAAAAGGACAGGCAGTGATGGTGGACAGGTAAGCTGCTTGGCAAGGGTCGGGTTTCCCTAGGGAGCCTGGCGCCTCCTCCGAGCCCCGCCACGCAGCTGCGCACACCCACCCCCTCTGCTGGCCAAGTGGGGCACTGCGCGAGCTTGCACAGAACACAGAACCTTACCTTGAGATGGTGGAACATTCGATGTGCCAGCCGGGTCTTCCCTTTCCCCAAGGAGAGGCCCAAAACACCTCCTGGGGTTTGGCTGCCTTCCACAGGGCAAAGTCGCTGGCGTGCCGCTTGTCGGAATCAACTGCCAACAGCAAATGATCGATCAGGGGCGAGAATCTAAAAGGCAGACCCACACAGCATGGCCATGACATCCCAAAGATGCTGCTCCTTCCAGCACGTGACCTCACGCTCCTCTTCTCCCCTCGTGACGGCCGGAAGGACCACCCAACACCTTTATCTAAAACACGGTGAGGCCAGTTTCAGCGAGCAGAAGAGCCGAGATTTCGCACGGTGAACGCTGATGCTTCTTCCTAGGGACGCATGAGCTGAGCTGCCTTCCTTCCTTATTCTCCTCCTGAGAAAGCTAGGTGTGCCAGCGGGTGAGTTTCAGAGCACCTTCTCCCCCAAAAAGACAACTACACAGAGCACCAATGACACTGGAGGAGCAAGAGAACCCAGAAGAGGGTTAGGGGACGGTCCACGGTCATACAAGCCGGTCCTGGGCTCTCTCTGCTCCAAAACTTGGTGCGGCCACGATGTCCTGACATGAGTGGATACGCCAACCGTGCCGCATCGGACAAGGGAGTGTTACTCAGCACCGGAAGGAAATGGCTATCAAGCCATAGAGACACGGAGGGTGGCTGCGTCCCCGGTCCCCAAGGGGCTCTGCCCTTGCCTGGGTCCCCATGGGACCTGGTGGCTTAAATGCACACTTTCACCTAAATGTGTATTCAGTGAAAAAAGCCAGTCCGAAAAGGCCACTGAGTGTACGCTCTCACTTTATGGCATTCTAGAAAAGGCAAAACGATGCAGACAGTAAGAGATCATGGGCTGCCAGGGGTGAGGAGGGAGGAGTCTGAGCAGCTGGAGCTCAGGGAGGGCTGAGGGCCAGGAGGGGGTTCTGTGCCATGTGTCGTCACACATTTATCCAGCCCAAGAATACACAGCACCAAGCGCGAACCCTCCCAGACACTGCGGACTCGGGGTCACGTGTCCATACAGGTACATCCGCCGTGACAGACGTCCCATTCTGGTGACGTTCGTAACAGGAAGGCTGTGTGTGAGCAGGGTCGGGGGACGTGGGATACCCCCACTCCTAACCGTCAACTTTGCTGTGAACCTAGAAGCACCCTAAAATAAAGGCTATTGTCTTTTAAAGATTTATTTATTTGGGGGGGGGAGTCGGGGGAAGGGGAGAGAGAGAGAAACTCAAGCAGCCTCCCTGCTGAGCATGGGGTCCAACGCGGGGCTTGATCCCACGACCCTGAGATCATGACTTGAGCCGAAACCAAGAGTCAGGCGCTTAACCGACTGCGCCCCCCAGGCGCCCCTAAAGTCTATTAAAACACAAAAGCACCGCTGATGCTAGGACGTGTGTCTCAGAAAATGTCCTCTGCTTCCCTAGGGCACAGCGGCAAACCCACACGTGCGTGCCGTCTAGCGGTGCTTGGTTCTGGTCCTTCAGGAGGGAGCGGATACTCATGAGTAAGAGTAACAAACACCATTTCTGAGGCGTCAAACAATACTGTTAGTAGGGGCGCCTGGGTGGCTCAGTCGTTAAGCGCCTGCCTTCGGCTCAGGTCATGATCCCAGGGTCCTGGGATCGAGCCCCACATCGGGCTCCCTGCTCCGCGGGAAGCCTGCTTCTCCCTCTCCCACTCCCCCTGCTTGTGTTCCCTCTCTCGCTGTGTCTCTCTCTGTCAAAATAAACAATACTGTTAGTAATTAAATGTAAATGGCATCGCTGGGGCACCTGGCGGCTCCGTCAGTTAAGCGTCTGCCTTCAGCTCAGCTCATGATCCCAGGGTCCTGGGATCGAGGCCCGCATCCAGCTCTCTGCTCAGTGGGGAGCCTGCTTCTCCCTCCACTCCTCCCCCCGCTCGAGCTCTCTCTTGCTCTCTGTCAAATAAATAAGTAAAATCTTGAAAAAATAAAAAATGAAAAAACAAATGGCATCATTTATAGAGCAGAGGATAATGGTTAAAGACAGAAATTACTTGGACAATTTGTCTCTGGGGTTTTTGCTTGTCTTTATTTGGTTCTCTTCAATAGTATTTTTTTTAATTTGAAATTATTTTTAATTTTAAATTTTTAAAAATTATTTTCCATTTACTTCTATGTACATACTTCTCCATAAAAATGACTTCAATCTAACAATCATTGGAACAGAACAGAGTGGAGGAATAAATTAAAATACACCAGGAATGTAATATATGGTAAAATACCTACGGGGACTTACTATACGGCAAACTATAGATGGAACTGAGTACAACAGCCAGATGGCGGAGAGCGTTAAAACGCAACAGCACGACTGTGTGCTCCCGTGGGAAGCCCGTGGCCAGGCGATGGTGCCCTCCCCCCGGAGGAGAGCCAAGGACCCGGCAGGCGGGAGGAGATTCACAACCTGCCGAGGGACTTCACATTCCAAAGTTCCCTCTCTTTGAACAATGAGTTACATTTAGAACACTGCTGGGATGGACGGTCGGGCGCCATCACTGGGTCTGAGAGGCCCAGCCTGCGCTTCAGCCCCCAGACCCCGAAGTGGGAGGCTGGGGTCCACCCACCTGGCTCTCTGACGGGACCGGGGACCACCCTGACCAGCTTGCCGTACTTGTCTCCTCTCGACTGCAGGTCAAAGTAGACGTTGCCTGTTTTATAAAGGTAATGAAGAAGTCATCATTTCTCTGAATCACCGAATTCTACTCCAGAAACCAACACTGCACTGTATGTTAACAAGAAAAATTTAAATAAGAAAAAAAAAATCAGTTCAAAAAAGAATATGAACAATTACTGAAAATTAAAAGGAATTCATCATTTCTGAACCTTAAATATCAGCATCTATCGAAGCATAGTAGCTAACAAGTAATTAGCATTTAAACACAGAATATGGCATCTGGCCTTCACGTGGCCCCTTTGCTCCATCTCTAAATCAGAATGAACACCAGCACCGCTGTTTTATAAGAGCACGCATCTGGACACGTCACGAATATCCAGAGGTGGAAATGAAAACCCCAAGTGTAAGATCTGCATCAAATGTTGAGATGGTTCCTTTTAGTGAGAAGGAAAAGTGTCACCATGTGCCTGCATCTAGCTCTGCACTTTACGCTATGTACCAGCTGACAGAGAAACCCGGTCTCACCCAGAAAACCTGCTCAGATCCCAGACACCTCCACACTCAAGCACCCTGACCGAGCAGGGAAGGAGGTGTTGGAGCAGGAGCCCCCCCCCCAGGGCTGTGTCCCAGGACTGGGCCATCAGAGCCGGATCCTGACCCGGGTGGGGAGGACCCCAACTCAGGGCTCACACGCAAGCTCCAAGTTACGCTGGGGAAGAGCCAGGGGGCCACCGTGCGAGCAGCCGTCCAGGAAGTCAGGACATAAGCAGCAATCTGGAAATGCCTTGTCTTTCATGGAGGAGACATTTCTCCATACCTATGTTCATGTTATCAGTTCGCTGAACAAAAACAGTTTCTTCACAAAGAGTTGAAAATTCATTTTTTTTTAAAGATTTTTATTATTTATTTAGAGCGCGAGCAGAAGCAGGGGGAGTGACACAGGGAGAGGGAGAAGCAGGCTCCCCGCTGAGCAGGGAGCCGGATGCGGGACTCGATCCCAAGACCCTGGGATCATGACCTGAGCCGAGGGCGGACGCTTAACCAACTGAGCCACCCAGGCGCCCCAAGAGTTCAAAATTTAAATCACAGCCAAGCTTTTATGGAATTGTCACAAAGCCCAAATTAATGGCGTCTGCGTTAATGTCAACTTATTTTCACTGTATTTACATTATCACTATTAAAAGCTTACAATAAAGCACCGTCATAAAGCAACAGACCAGGGGCATCTATTGCTAAGGCGCGTTTGGCCCTCTGCCTCCCGTGAGTCTCACTCTGGGCTGCTTGTCTCATTTCATGTCTCACAGCAGCAGGACGACAATGCCTGTATTTTCCAGAAAAAACTCCAGTTCAGTCACGCAGGCCCCTTAAAAACAAGTTTCTCTTGGAGACAAAATCTAAATATAGCAAATACGGTAAAGTAAGAAAGCTGCAAATACGGTAAAGTAAGAAAGCTGCAAACTCTGGTGTATGCACAGGGGACTGAGAAAGGCAGCGCCCATTCCTGGGGACCCGGGGCCCCTCGCAGGGATCTAGGCGTGCAGGTGGGACCCCTGAAAGAAGGGGCTTACAGTCCATAACCCGCAGAAACAGTATCTGCTTGCACGCTTCATACTCTGCTGTTGACTTGAACAAGCATTACAAGACACACACATCCCAAGTCTGGGCTGGGCATGCTAGTGGGTCATTCACCAAAAACGAGCAGTTTTATGATCCCAGAAGGGACAGAATACGAGAGCAAGAACAGCAAGCGAGGGCGGTACATGCCCGGCGGCCAGTGGGCAAAGCCCAGGCACCAGAGCTGGGCTGCAAGTCCGCTTTCAGCCCCGAGCGGAGAAGAAACGTCCCGGGAGGGAGAAAGCTCGGTCGGACTGTGAGGACGGGTGGGACTTGGGCGGAAAGGGCTGGAAAGGGGGAGGCGCGGCTGAGGACCACGGGGACCCCAGCGGCAGCCAACGCCAGGCAAAAAGCAGCGGCTCCCAGGCCGGCAGCAGTGAGGTGTGCCAGAAGGACGCGATCAGGCCCACCCCAGGCAGGGAGCGGCCAGCAGGAGACCCGGGGCGGGGGGACGCAGGAGGACCAGACGCGTTAGGGAACAGTCCGGCACCTCGGTCGGATAACACAGTGAACCAGAGAAGATAGTAAGCCACTCGGCAACTCCAACAACTCGCAAACACGTGTCCACTTTCTCAAGGTCCCACTGGTATTTACCCAACGATCAGTTAAGTAACACAACCCCTACCTTGTGCTGTCGGATAAGCGTGCCCGTTAGCTATGATTCCTTCGATGAAAGAGATGATCTGAGGAATATTTTCAGTTACCCTCAAGTACACAGTCGCGGGGAGAACCTGACAGAAAGCAGAGGAGAGATGACCTTCCACGGGTGAAAGGCGTCGGTCGGCCACACCGGCTTTCAGCGCTCACGCCCCCCTCGTGGCGAGGAAACTCAGCGACGCCCTTCACCTTCAAGGCTGCCATGTCTTGTTTAAAATCCTCTTCATACAGATTGGCGAGAGAGGCAGGTGACACGTTCATCTGCAGAAAGACGAGGTGAGCCGGTCAGCAGGTCGGGCCCCCGCGGCTGGCCTCGCAGAAGGGCCTTTCGTTTTAGCTCCCAAACTCATTCTAGTAACTTAGCTAGTCACAAAGGCTCACTGACCCCGTTTTCTGGTTAGAGGGGAAAAAAGGAATAAACAATGTCACGATTTCTGTTACATAATTCAAAACAAAACCCCCAAACACACGAAAAAGCCTCGCTTTTCTAGGGCAAGGGCAGGCTAGCTCAATCTAGTCTACATCATAACCAGAAACTTGGGTTTCTCTCTTATCCCTTCCCCTCGGGGGGGCGGGGGCAAGAAAACCCGTCAAAAACACATGAACGAGGAACTCTAAGAAGTGTTTGGAAAGCAGCAGAGCTGGTGCAAACGAACAGTGGGCAGGTGGCAGGGCTGGGGGGACGCAGGGGCACAGCAGCCCCCGGAGACAGACGTCACATTCTGAGCGCGGGGCATCTGGGGGCACGCTCCTGCAGCCCCAGGGCCTGAGGGCACACTGGCACACAAAACCGGCTCCCCAAAGCATTTTTTACTTTTCAGCAGAAAAAAACGTTCCAAGAACAAAAGAAGGACAGGTCTGGGACCCCGTGGAGCTCGCGAAGGGCCCGGGACTGCAGCCCCCGCCCCTGCAGCCCCGGAACCAGGGCCCCGCTCCGCGGCCGACACACCGCAGCTCCAGCGCGGCAAGCAAGACTCCCCCTTCTCAGCGAGAGGCCCCCGCCAGCCCGCCACTCCGCGGCCACGCTCTTCCCCGCCCGGGGCCCCAGAAAGGCAATCATCCCAGAAACCGCGACCACCGGGCATTTACTGAATAAATCAATCTGGTGAACAAAGCGACTCTTCAGCTGTGTGGCCGTGCGCAAGGCATGAGCCTCTGTGCCTGGGGCTTTCTTGCAACATGGAGAGGTCCCACCTACCGACCCCCAAGATTGCTACGAGGATCCGTGTGCATCTCAGAAAGACGACCGCGTGAATGGACGACGCTGTGTTCACGCCTCTGTTAGACACAGGACACCCGGCTCCCAGACACACGGATCTGCATCCCCCTCCTGAAACGCAGCGCCCTGCACACACGGCCTGCAGCTGGCTCCCTCCACTACCACCACCGTCCTGCTGGCCGGCCCGGCCCGCGTACCAGGAGCCGCTCCCCGGGCCCCCTCCTCACGCCCTCTTCTTCTGCTGTGACAACGGGCCAGGCCATTCCTGAGTACGGATCCAGATGCCAGACCGCTGGTCGGAGGACAGGTGCACACGCCCTGGCTGGGTACCTGCCGCCCCCGCAGAGGGTGCGCTGGCCTGAACCTGACTGAGCCCCGACCGCACGGGGGTGGGGGGCACACTTGTGGACATCAGCAACATGACTGCTAACACACGCTTTCTCGCTGTAAGTTTAACATGTACTTCTCTCTTCTGAAGGAGCTGAACATCTCTCACAGGTTTAGAGCCATTTATATTAACAGTGTAATCACCACACCCATTTCTCCACTGACTTGTAGAGCTCTTCCTGTCCATTGGTAGGAAGTAGTTTTACATAAACGAAATTAGCCTTTTATCTCTGATGTGAATTTCAATTACTGTCACAGTCTTTCAACTTTATGGTTAGTTTTTGTTCTATAGAAAATGTCATTTCTATATTTAGCCATCTTTTGTATTTCTCAAATCTTTTTCCCCAAATGGCTCCTGGGTATGGAAACAAATTTAGGAGAGCCTTCCCAGTATGAGGCTATAAAAAGTGCCCCAAGGTTCTTTCAGTAATTCGTGGTTCCATTTCTTTTACATTAGGCTCCGATCTGCCCAGGATCTGGTTGTTAGATCCACCACCCCTCCTGGGTTTTTTTTCCCCCAGATGCTTACCTAACTGTCAACATCTTTTACCGGATAATTCCTCTCTTCCCCAATGATTTGAAATGCCATCTTTATCACAAATTTCCATTATATACTGTGTCTATTTCTGCCTTTCTAGTGTGTCCCATTATCTGTCTGTTCATGCTGTCTGTACAACGTTTAATGTCTACAACCTTCACAGTGACAGAAGGTAGACTGGTGAAAGCTTGGGGGCAGGGCAGCAAAGAGGGAAGGATGACAAGGGGCAGAGGAAGCTTTCGGGGGCGATGGATGGAGATGCTCATCCTGACGATGGTGATGGGTTCACAGATTTTATCATGCTGTATACCTCGAAGTACTAGGTGCAATTTATTGTAGGTCTGGTCACTCAAAGCTGCGCCAAAAAAAAGAAAGAATATATGAAAACAAAAAATTTTCTATAGCTTTAAAAATGTTTTAATATTAGGTAGGACTATTCCCTCCTTAATACTCTTCTTTAAAAAAAATTTTTTTTACTTATTTTTATTTGTCAGAGAGAATGCAAGAAAGAGAGCACACGAGCGGGGGAGGGGAGGGGGGAGAGGGAGAGGGAGAAGCAGCTTCCCGGCTGAGCAGGGAGCCCAATGTGGGACTCGATCCCAGGACCCTGGGATCATGACCTGAGCCGAAGGCAGACGTTTAACCGACTGAGCCACCCAGGCGCCCCAATACTCTTTTACAGACTTTTCCTGGCCGCATATGAACTCTAGAATCCACGTCTCTGGTTCTGAAAGGGAGTATTAGGAACGCGCACACACACCCCTCTGAATGACCTAGCAAGTACCACGCTGCCCAAACATGCAAGCCCGGCTTCACAGGCGGCTTCTCCAGCTCACACGCGTAAGCCCAGCGGCCGTGGTTCGGAAACACTGAGGGGCAGTGAATTGTAAGTGGGACACCAATCTACTGCTGGCCTTGCACGGAGGAGTGGAATCATATTCTAAAACGAAACCTTTTAAACTTAACCTTTTGGCAGCGGGTCACACCATGCATCTGGACAGCGCGGCTCTCACTCTCCGAAAAACAAACCGCACGAGGCGGGAGCTGAAATGCGGTCTCAGTCTTCGATCTCAGTCACTGTCCATCCGCCCCGACCATCACAAACCATCTCAAGCTGCCTCGCCCGCAGCAAGGGCCCCCCGGCCGGGCCCTCAGCACTCAGCAGCAGTGTCCGGCCTCCCTCCCGCAAAGAAGGCAACAGGGGCCAGTGACCAGCAGCAGAGAAAGAATACCTTCGGCCTGAGTCACTCTGACACATTCATCCCAATTTTTCCTACAAAATGCGACGATGCCCATGTACCACGCCTCTCGTAGGGCTCGCCCCGGAAATCCCCCCACCGTTTTTATCCCTGACAAACTGTAACACTGTGCCGAACATCAAAGTCAAGGGAGAGATCCAGAAAAGTGTAATATTATAATATAAAATACCGTACGTACAAGCAAGTGCTGAAGCAGACGGCATGAAGAGCATCGCCATCACTTTAATAGGTTGCATTAGATAAAAAATAGCCTTTTTGCCAGATACTAAGAAACAAACAGATGCTTTCATAACCATGTTTCAGATGCATGCTTCATCATCTTAAAGAGATACTGCGAGAACAACTATTCAGTGCCACGTTAGCATCCTGCCATGTGACAAGGAGGGAAATTTTCAGGTGTCAAAAATTAAATGCTCTCTACATACAGAATCTTTCAGCTAATTCTACCAACCTGTTCGTAGGCCAAGTATAATACAATTCTTAAAAGTAACAAGCTCTGCTTCCTCGCGGCATCTGTGAAATCCTCTCAGTAACTTCATTCTCGCTGCATTTACCCTGTGCCACCATCCCTCCCTCCTGAAGTCCGCCCCCCATCCTCACCTGCATCCGAGCCCCTCAGCCCCTCCCCTTCCTTCCCCACCAGCCGTGCCTCCAGCCTCCCAGCAGGCCTTGCAGCTCACAGGTCCACCTCCGAGTCTGAAGATTCACAGCAGAGCCCGATTCATCAAGTGCAGGGACCCAGGTGCGTGGTCTCGGATCCCCGCTGAAGGGGAGGACTGAGGACAGATGAAACACTCACCTGGGTCACCTTCCTCCATAACCAACGCCTCCCGCGGCAGTGTCCCTTCCAACCCCGCGCTCACCAGGCCAGAGACCACGGCTTGCTTGCTACCAGCTACACCCTGCCCGCAGCCAGTGAGGGCCCCGTCCAGCAGGCCTTCCTGCTCAGCACCCCTGGGGTCAGCCTTCCCTCCCAGCAATGGCTCCGGACCCCTCCTCAAGGCCCCCCGCAGGCACCATCCCAGCACCTCCCAGAAAACAGCACAGCCCCTGCCTCTGCCTCTCCCCCGTCCGTCCTACCCATGGATCAGAGGACGTTCCTTTCTTTCTCCCGTTTGCTCAGAAGCTTCACTCTAGAATCCAAAGGCTGCGCCGCTGGTGAGTGGCTGAGCTCACACTGAAGTCAGACAGCCCTGGACAAACGCTCCAAACTCGGGCCCCCTCCTCCCGTGCTCCACACGCAGGATCCTGTGGGTCTGCCATCTAACACGAGCACCACCTGCCTGGGGACCCCTTGCCCCCTGCTGTCCCCTCACTTGCAGCTCCCCACAAAGGGACGGCTCACCTTGCCCCCAGGGCCTTGGCTGGACCAGGGGACGCCTGACCCCAGGGGCAGACACAGAGAGCAGCAGGGACGGTGATGAACCCCAAGTGCTAGCCTGCCCACTCTCTGCTTCCAGCCAAACGCGTGGCGCCTTTTCCAACTCTAGCCACTTCTCCAGTTCTCCGGCTGCAGCTGGTTGTCCACGATTCAACCCTATTCCGACACGAACTCCCCGGCTCAGCGCAGACCCCGTGGGACTGCCGCCTTCAGACACCAGCCACCATGGGTCCCCTGGCCACTTGAACTCCTGCCATGGAGTCTAAATTTGGGGGTTTGATCTGAGTCACAGAACCCAGGAAAGCAGGCCACTTACCAACCCTAGTTTATGATAAAGGACACAACTCAGGAGCAGCATAGGGCGAGGGGCGGGGCTCCCAGGCTCTCCGACGCCGCCCTCCCAGCGCCCACCTGTGCTCACCAGCCCGAAGCGCTGAGCCCCCTCATTTTGGGGGTGTTTATGGAGGCTTCACGACTTGGCACAGGTGATTAAATCCCTGGCCACTGGCAATAAGCACCACGCCAGGGGTGGGGGGTGAAAGGTCCCAGCTCTCGCCATGGTTGGGTCTCTGGGACCCCAGCCCCCATACTGAAGCCCTCCAGGGGCCCAGCCGTGATCTCATCAGCATACAGAAGATGCTCTCCCTCACTAGATTCCGTGGGCGCTCTGTGCCTGGAACTGGGGTAAAGTCCACACGTATCTCTATGATACCAAGGCCCTGAGCTGACCGAGCTCCATATTTCTGTATCCAGGTCTGCGTTTCTTTAGGTACGTCACACTCACTCTGCTCGCCGGGGCGAAGCTCCCACCAACCCTGTCTGTGGGCCCATCTCTGGCTGTGTCCTCCCCACCACCGAGTGGTCTCCACTGGATGGAGCTGAGCCTGGCTAGAGCACCCCAAGAGTCTACCGGACAAAGTGCAAGTCCCCAGTAGGTCCTCCAGGCCCGGCTGCCCCCACCTCTCCAGCCTCACCTGCCAGCCCGCCCACAGGCCATGGGAGCAGGACGGCGGGTTCCCTCGCAGGCCTCCATGCAGCCTTTCGGCCCCTCCTCGCTTGCCCTCTGCCCAGGTGTCCTTCCTGCCCTCACTCCTCACCACCCATCCTCTACTAATGCTAATTCGGGGCTAACCTCCTCCAGTGAATCACTTCTGCATTCCACGGAGGTGTGATGGTCTTCCTTGCACGTCCCTAGCTGGGCTTATAAAATGAACTATGTCGCACACAGAGCATCTCTCTGTGGGCTCTTCTGCCTCCCCAGATGCAAGCTCCATGAGGCCAGGACTGGTCTTCCTCACCTTTCTTGGCACAAAGCCAGGCACAGGCCAGACCCCGGACGGTTCGATGCGTGCTCAGGGACAGTTCTGGAAGTGGAAATCGAGTCTACTCTAAGGGAGCATGACGTACTGGCTCAGCTATTTGGACAAGACAGACCCAGGAAACCCCACTGGGTTTGGGCGCCACCAGTAAGCACTCTCTAAACCACCCAACTCTAAGAAGAAAAACCTTATTAAAAAAACCATTCCTCCTTGAACCAGTGACTCCACTTTGGGAAAAGTATTTAGCGAAACAAGACAGGATGAAAAAAAAAGATATTCACAGTAGCCCTATTTTTAACAGCTATAAACAACACAGCCAATGATGGGAAACTGCTGAACAGCCCCCATGCCGAATGCTATCTAGTTGTTAAAAAGGTAAATTAGGGGATGCCTGGCTGGCTTGGTTGGGGGAGCGTGCGATGCTTGATCTCAGGGTCGTTGAGTTCTAGCCCCAGGTCAGGTGCAGAGATTACTTAAACAAGTAAAACTTTACAAAAAAAAAAAAAGGCAAATTGGTAGGAAACAGGGACACATGGCTTCTAGAAAATAAATCTGAGAGAAAGCAGAATATGGAAGTAATTCAAGAGTCCAAAAACAAGAATGGTAAATGAGGGTATCTCCATGCGATGAAATGCTATATGGCTATTTAAAAACGTTCAAGAATATTTAAGAACATGAAAAAAGTACTCAAAATATACTAAATGGAAAAAGCAGACTATAAAACATTATAAAGTGTAGACTGGTTCCTAAAAAAAAATAGTATAGACAGTTTTTAGTACATACATCTTCTAAAATAACGGGAATATAAAGCACTCAATGTAGGTTTTTGCATAGATTGGATCATTTAACAATTATCTGCAGATCCTTAGAGATAATTGTTAAAGTTGCTAATTATAAAAACCAGGAAATAGACTTAAAAATTTATCTATATTTAACTTAACCCCTCAGTTAAAACTTTCCCCCAAAAGCTTCCCCTAAACCCTCCTACACTGTTGGTGGGAATGCAAGCTGGTGCAGCCACTCTGGAAAACAGTATGGAGGTTCCTCAGAAAGTTGAAAATAGAGCTACTATACAACCTAGCAATTGCACTACTGGGTATTTACCCCAAAGATACAAATGTAGGAATCCGAAGGGGTATGGACACCCCGATGTTTATAGCACCAATGTCCATAATAGCCAAACTGTGGAAAGAGCCAAGATGTCCATCGACAGATGAATGGATAAGGAAGATGTGGTATATATACACAATGGAATATTATGCAGCCATCAAAAGGAATGAGATCTTGCCATTTGCAATGACGTGGATGGAACTGGAGGGTATTATGCTGAGCCAAATAAGTCAAACTGAGAAAGACATGTATCATATGACCTCACTGATATGAGGAATTCTTATCTCAGGAAACAAACTGAGGGTTGCTGGAGTGGTGGGGGGTGAGAGGGATGCGGTGGCTGGGTGATAGACATTGGGGAGGGTATGTGCTATGGTGAGCGCTGTGAATTGTGTAAGACTGTTGAATCACAGACCTGTACCTCTGAAACAAATAACACATTATATGTTAAAAAAAAAAAAAAAAAAGAAGAAGAAGACAGCAGGAAGGGAAGAATGAAGGGGGAATCGGAGGGGGAGACGAACCATGAGAGATAATGGACTCTGAGAAACAAACTGAGGGCTCTAGAGGGAAGAGGGTTGGGGGGAAGGGTTAGCTTGGTGATGGGTATTAAAGAGGGCACGTTCTGCATGGAGCACTGGGTGTTATGCACAAACAATGAATCGTGGAACACTTCATCTAAAACTAATGATGTAATGTATGGGGATTAACATAACAAAAATTTTAAAAAAAAAGCTTCCCCTAAATGATGCATGAGTTATAAGAGAAGTGCCCTGTGTACTAAACAAATGAGAAAACTGAACTTCCCGTGAGCTAAGCTTCCCTAGCCCGGAAGCGGCCCTTTGCCTTCCCTGTGCGTGGGAGGCCTGGAGGCCACGAGGCCGCGGGGCCGAGGAAGGGACAAACTTCAAGCAGGGGACAAGGACATCAAAGGCTTCGGTGCCCAGAATCAAACAGGCCTCCTTTACCAGCACAGAGACTCCCCTGATGACCTGTCAGAGTGCTCTCGCCAAGCGGCATGTGGACGGAGAGATGCAGAACACACCTGCGGAGCAGCTAGGGGCTCAGCACAGCATAGCATCGATCCAGTTACGGACAACATCACCCTCTGCACTTACCTCGGCGGCTCTGTGGATTATTTTATCGTCCACATCTGTGATTCCCATCACCATGATGATGTTGCATCCAAAAACCCTGGTAAGGATCCTTCGGATGATATCAAATCTAACGTACGAGCTGCAAGAAAAGAAATGTCAGAGCGTCTTTAATGCACAAAGTCCCCAGTGGGATCTTTAAAAAGGAATGCCTTGCATCTTAACAGGCTGCCCCAAACTTTAGGTGTGTGATGGAGCTAATGGGTCCCGCACAGCTAGGAAGAGGGAAAGCCTTCCACTGACTGGCCCACATGGGGCCCCACAAGAAATCAGCAAAGGCAACACCTCAATGTCAGGCACATGGTGAGCATGTTTAATGCTGGGGCTGTTACATGAGTTTACACCATTTAATTGGAGAACAATTCACTGGTAATACAATCTCACCAGGTAGTTAAAATACTGAGAGCTTTTACCGTCCTTGTTTATGTTCTAGAATAACTGGACGGTTTCACTATGGCAAAACAGAAGGAACAGCAGACCAAGGACGAGGCTGTTAAAGCTGTATGGTGTTACTCCCGAGAAATGTGTGCACTGTTGTGGGATATTAACACACCAGCTTGGGGCGCCTGGGTGGCTCAGTCAGTTAAGTGTTTGCCTTTGGCTCAGGTCATGATCTCAGGGTCCTGGGATCAAGTCCCACATCGGGCTCCCTGCTCAGTGGGGAGTCTGATTCTCCCTCTCTCTCTGCCCCTACCCCCTATTTGTGCATGCGCGCGCTCTCTCTCTCAAATAAATAAAATCTTAAAAAAACAAAACAAAACAAAAAACCACCAGCTTATCAGCATGCCACACTGGGGCAGCTCAGATGTGTAAAACCAAAAGGGCTCAAGAGCCATTTAAAATGTCCAGAATCTGGTTTCCCATAAAAGCAACCTTAAAACTCAGGGTTGGCAAATCTCATGTTCATCTGTCACCCACACGGCCTCTGTAACTCAAACACGAGCCCTGTCATTGTACCCCGTCTGCGTCCCACACTACCCTTGCCAAACTCAGCTCCGGTGACCAAGCCAGGTCGGAAACTCCTCACCGAGATATTTAATCATCTGAAGCCTTAGGCTGCTTATTTATAAAATGGGCAGAATCCTGCTATGCCACGGGGTTGCTGAACACGATCCTGATGCCCCGCAGCACCAACTCCTACAGGCATGAGCCTCTGTCACCGCAGTCATGGGTCATCACCATGCCCTTCATTCGGCTCCCCCAAGAGTGGTTCCCTGTGCACTGTATCTGCCCCTGGGGGGAGAACAGCACCATCACCCGGTGTCCTTAGGAGAATCACACTGGCTGGTGTTTGTAAAGCATTTAGAACAGAAAAAGTGCTGTGTCTGTTAAGTGTCTTTTTTTTTTAGTAAGCTCTATGCCCAGGGTGGGGCTTGAACTCATGACCCTGAGGCTGAGTCCCGTGCTCTACTGACTGAACCAGCCAGGCACCCCAAGTACCTGCCTTTTTAAAACCTGGGGAGGCGAGTGGGGAGACATGAACCTGGACGGTACGTCGGGACAGACTTCCAGAACTGCAGAGACGTCCTTAGGATTTGGACCTTTACTTTAGGAGCTATGGGAGCCATGCTTGACCATCCCTGCCCCTAAGACCTCTCAGCTTCTTCAGAATCTTGAAGTTCTCGGGTTTCCCACCACTCAGGAGCATCCTGAATGACTCTTGAGGAATGGGTTCTATCTCACAGTCCATCTTCCATAGAGGATAACCGGTTATCCTCGAGAGGGTGGGGGACCACAGTGATGAAGGGGATGCTCAGGCTTCTGGGGTGATGGTAAGGTGTCTCTGCCTAAGACCCGTGAACATTCATTCAGCTGTACCCTTAACATTTGTACTCTTTTCTGTTTTTTGGGGGTTTTTTTAGATTTTATTTATTTGACAGAGAGAGACACAGCGAAAGAGGGAACACAAGCAGGGGGAATGGGAGAGGGAGAAGCAGGCTTCCCGCGGAGCAGGGAGCCCGATGCAGGGCTCGATCCCAGGACGCTGGGATCATGACCTGAGCTGAAGGCAGACGCCCAACGACTGAGCCACCCAGGCGCCCCTCTCTTCTGTATTTGTAATGGCAAATACAAATTATAACCAGAGGCTTGATTCTCCTAGCTGAAAATAAGGAAACATCCTCCCCGCCCCCGGCCCCCTTCTTTCAGAAATTCCTGTCCTTCTAAAATGTACGTTAATGGTTTTAATGGCTAAGGAAGCCTCTCCTGAGTCCCACAACTCTGGAAAGTTCCAAGGACCTGGGAGCCATCTCTTTGGAATGAAGCCATCAAGGAAGTTAACGCTCCATCTCAGGAGGGGGATGGGCCTGACGTGTCACTTGACTGCTCAGCGCAAACCAACCCCACCTGCCCTCACAGATTGTATCCACTTGGCTCTATAAAAGACTGCGATTTCTGTCTTTGCAATCCTTCCCCAACATATTTTATACTTCAATAAAGAGGTCAAAAGATCCTTTTTAAAATTAATAGTAAGTTAGCCACTGATTCTGTTTTAACAAAACACAAAAAACACTCCAGCCTCCCTGGGTGATGCAGGATTTTGTAAAAAGTGTAATGAGTTAAGGTAGCTTTTCCCTTTTAGTCTAAGTCTGAAACATAACAAGCTTAAAAAAGGAACAAGAGAACATAGAAAGCGCTAGGAAAAGTGTAATTTTGACAAAGATGGGATGCAGTGCAGCGGAGGGTTAAGAGGTTGAGAAAGCAAGCTCCGGGGAGATCAGACACACCAGGCTCCGCTGCTTCCAAAATGTGTGGCCTCAGGCAAGTTACTTATCCCCAAAAACTGCTCAGCCCCCACCACAGCGCACCTCGGGTACTATGTACGCTGCACTTTATGCGCGGTGCTTCATAAAGTTGTGAAGATTCAGACAGATGAATACTATTATCATCCCCATCTCAACGATGAAGAAACCAGGACTCAAAGTAATAAAAGGGCTTGTCCAAAATTGGAAAGAAAATAAGCAGTAGGGGCCAGAAATAACTTCTCACTGCTGACTCCTGACCTGATCTCACTAAAACCCACCAAGAAGCATCCAATTCCAAAACAGGTCATTTATCACTGCTCCTCACTGCCTCCCTGTGAAATGGGTAGAAGTGCTTAGAATTTACTATGAGAACCAAATGAGACAACAGGTGTGCCTCCCACAATACCTGGAATATAGTTAGCTATTCAGTATTCTCTTTTTTTTTGCTATTCAGTATTCTTAAGCTGCCCTTGAGAGATGGGAAAAACCTGCAAAAGGCTCTTTCTTTCCAAAATAAATGGTCCCTAGAAGTGTGAAAAATCAAATTCAGAACACTCACCAAGCATGGCCAAGGTGTGCATGATCATAGACAGTTGGTCCACAGCTATACCTAGGAACAAAGTTAAAATCCACCATGTGAAACATGTTTGCCAGAAAGGACACCACATTCTCTGTTACGGTTATCATACAACCATGCTCTTTTAAAAACTGTTAAATAACCACTTTTGGGGAATTCGTAGCCAAAGCCAGCCAAGTGCCCGGGACCACACCAGGATCTCCAACTGTGCTTCCATGGATTTTGTACTTATTAAATGCTCCCCACCTGAGAACCTTTCAGCGCAGCGCTGGGTGTACCGTCCTTCCCGCCCCACGTCCCCAGCACCCCGCTCCCCCAATCCTGGGCGGCTACCAGGAGGCGGCGTCCACGCTGCCCACGATCAAGGGGTCTTTCCTCCGGGTGAGGCTGTTGTACACCTTGACGCCCGTGTCGTGGCCCGCCGGCTGCAACCAGCCCTGCCCGCGCACGCCCGACGCCGCCCGCGCCGGCCCGAGCCGGGCGCCCAGGCCCAGGGCGGCCCGCAGGAGCCGGGGGCCCACAGCCGCCCCGCGCTTCCGCAGCATGGCCGGCCCGCGAGCGGCACCGAGCAGGGGTGCGCGCGGTCGCCGCGGAGGCTCGCCACGCCCACTCCGGGCGGGGCTCGCAGCGGACCCGCCCACCCGGAAGAGGGCGTCCAGGCCCCGCCCACTCCTGATAAATGCCAGACAAGGCCCCGCCCAACCCGGAAAGGGCTTCCTATGCTCTGTCCAACCGAGAACGGCGGACGCCCAGGCCCCGCCCAACCCGGAAGGGGATCCGGCCGTGCCGCCTATTCCGGAAGATGGTCGGCCTCGGTCCCTCCAACCCCCAAAGAGGCGGTCGGGTAGCCGGGCCTGCGCCTCCCTCTGGCCTGCAGGGCACCCGTTGCGGCTCTGGGGGCGAGGAAGAGGTCGGCGCGGGCGAGGCGGGGCGCGGCACGGGCGCCCTAGGCGGTAGAGGGAGGCGCTCCTTCGCGCCGGGAGGAGGGGGCCCTTCTGCTCTTGGGATCCCGTCGTGCAGGTGTTTGTGCTGACGCTGACGAATCGGGGCCGGTCCCACCTCCCGCTGGGGAGCGGGAGGCCGCTGACTGCCCGAGTTCACGGTGCGGGCACGCGCCTCCGGTACCTTGCCTGCTCGGGAAGCACGTCCGCACCCCAGCACAGCGCGTTTGCGCCCCTACGCGCACGCGGCATAGCCGCAACCCAACAGCACATCTGCACACCAACACAGCACGCTTGCACCCTAACAGCATGTCTGCACCCCAACACAGCACACTTGCACCCCAACACAGCATGTCTGCACCCCAACACAGCACGCTTGCACCCCAACACGTTTGCACCCCAACACAGCACACTTGCCTCCTAATGTGCACAAGGCACATCTGCACCCCAACACAGCACGTTTGCACCCAACACACAGCGTATGCGCACCCTGACACAGCATGCTTGCACCCCAACACAAACAAGGCACGTCTGCACTCCTACATGTGCACACAGCACGTCTCCATTTAAAAGCACAAGGGTCATTTGCACCCCAAGACAGCACTGTCTCCGGATGGAAGACCAAAGCTAGGAAACCACCCATCATTCATCAAGTATGTGTAGTAGGAAGTGTCTACTTGGGATTCATTAAACATTCTATATCATCTCCTCTCTTGAGAACAAAAACAATCTGAATTGCGGTTTCAGTGGGCCTTTTAAAAAGCGGATTCACTTGAAGTTACTTTCAAATTATCTTGACAAAAGGGGCCCTACTGATACCTTGCAAAATAGTGTCAAAAGAAAGAAAGAAATCCCCTTTATTTTTGCATTCCTCAAAACCACACAGAGGTTCCTCAGTTCTTTTTTTTTTTGGTTTGTTTGGTTGTTCTATTGAAAGGCAAATGCTTAAGCAGAGACAAACCAGTATGTTCCTAGAACAGTTCATTTTTTTTTTCCTTTCAAGATTCCTGGAGTCCAATACTGCAATTCTATTTCAAACTAAATTGTAGTCTAATGTAAACTATGTTCTAATGCATAAAGCTAAAATATTAGAACCTATTGTTCAGAATTAGGAGAACTCTCCATCAGTGCTAAGCACAGGCTCCCTGACTACTCAAAGTTCTACTGGAGTATTATCCCTCCTTTCACTGCCTCTCTCCATCCCTATCTTCGTAAGTTTTTCTAAGAGTCTCTTGTGTCTAGTACAATGTATATATTTCTCTCCCCAGTACTTTAGACTGTAAATTCTTTTGAACTCCCTCCCTCACTGTTCCAGCACTGCATTCAGAAAAGAGCTGCTGAATGAATCTGTGATGAAATCCACCTGTTGTGCATGTGGGAGGAAATTTCCGCAGTGAAATATCTGATGGAGAAAGCTCTGGTCCAGATACTAGACGTGCTAGTAAAATAAGAAAATGAACAAAAGGCGATCTGTGTCAACACACAGAATTCAAGGGAAAAGCTAGGTTTGTTTTTTTTTTTAAGATTTTATTTATTTGAGAGAAAGGGTGAGCAAGTGAGAGCACGAGCAGAGGGAGAGGGAGAAGCAGACTGCCTGCTGAGTAGAGAGCCCGATTTGGGGCTGGATTCCAGGACCCTGGGATCATGACCTGAGCCAAAGGCAGTCGCTTAACCAACTGAGCCACCCAGGAGCCCCCCAAAAGCTAGAAGTCTTGAAAACAGATTTAGTAACACTGAAGACCAAATCCTGCACATGAATCTGGACAGCTGGTATGTTGGAATTGGCCATAGAAAATTCATGACTTTTAAATTAACAATGGTATCTTCTGTCTTCAGAAAACCAGTTGTGTAAGGTGTTCAGCCCTCATTGGCAGCAATTCTACCTTTACTTAATTAAGTCTTTCTGAAATCATCAAACCAATGATAAACATAACCCTCTACTTAATGGTGATTAAAAATATGAGTCCTTTTTGCAGGTTGAATATTAAGGTAAAGTAAAAATGACTGGGAACATTTATTAACAAATATACTCCCCAAAAGAGAATCCTGTGACTTTGAAGTGACTCCTCCCCAATCTAGGCCAGAACAAAGAAGTGTATTAAAATTAATGATTCCAAAGTATCTTGAATGCCATTTCCTAGTCCTTAATGACAACAACCAAAAAGGTAGTTCTCAGTAATACATTTTCTTTCAAGGCCAAATCTTGCAAATTCAAAGTGGAGTAGATAAGGTAGCATACTGCTTAAGGTATTTCAAGTTTGAGAGAAACATGTTAGCATTTATTTTTTAAGCACCTCAAAACATAAAAAATTTTATGTTCAACTCTTACTTTTTACTCCCACGGGTTGGAGCATCACCAGTTAAACTAGAAATATAATTCGGAAAAAATTTAGTATCCATTTTTCCAACACACTCCAAAGAGCAGAACCGAACCAACTAAGGTAATTCAATGTATCTTCAAAATTAAACATGTTTCCTTAGTAGTATATTTAAAATCCATGGTCATAGTTAGGTTTTAGCTCTTAATCTCTTATCTTGTTCAGAAAACTGTGAAGTCATCGATATGTATTTTAATACCTTTGTAAAGCTAGTAAATAAAGTATCTTCTGACCTTTTAGCCCACAAGGTAAACTGTCTTACAGAATGCAAGCTCCTCATCCCCAGTGCATACACAGTAGCTAGCACCTGGTAGGCCTCATGAAATATTTCTTGTTCAATGATTAAGATAACCTTTTGTTTCTGTGTCTGTGGAGTCCATGAAAACATGAAAGGAATCATTATTCAGATAGCATCGTGATTTTTAAAAAAGATAACCTAGTTCAAGCTGGCTTGATTATTGTTGGAAGGGGTAAGTTATTTCTAACCTTTATTCTTAAATTCAGACAAACACTACTCATTCCAGGGCCAATAAATGCAAGGATTCAAAGAACTTATCTCTTTCTTGCTACGGTACTTTAAAATTATTTGTATGGTCTCAAAGAAAGGGAATTATTTTTCTTATTCAACTTCGTTATCGTCTCTCTATTCCATATAACGTCTCCGTTGCCACATGTCATAGTATTCAAGTCTCTCATGCAGACTAGTGGCCAACGAATTTTGTTGTATAAAATGAAATGAAATTTCATTCATCATTTGCTTTAAACCAGGCCAAGACTGGGGGAAGTGCGAATCCGTAAGTAAAATAACCATTCTCCCAGTATCAAAGTGAAAGTTCTTTTGCTGTGGGGAAGGGATGAAGGGGTTTAATAGTGAAGATCAATCTATTTACTTCGAAGTGTTAATATCAGAGGTCGTTTATCTCCGCAGACGAGAACCATCCATTTCAAAGACAAAACAGCTCAAGTCAGGGTCCTGGGCTCTACCCGCATCCCTATCAGAAAATGCGCCACCGCGGGTAACAATCTATTTTATCTACACTGGGTTGACCGGAAATACTACTGGCTTACATACAGTACTTTTATTTCTATTTATTTTTTATTTAAAGATTTTAAGTCATCTCTACACTCAAGGTGGGGCAGGCCCTCACACCCCGATTTCAACAGCGGCAGGCACCACCGAGTGAGCCAGCCAGGCGCCCCTGACATACAGCAACTTTAAAAACCTGCCAACGGCCTGGGTCTTGACAGCACGCCTCCTGGAGCAGGCGAGCACCGGGCTCGCAGTCTGCGGAGGAGCACCCCGCCGGCCCCAGGGCACCCGCGGCGCCGGGGCGAACCGGGCAGGCCGAGCGGAGCCAGCTCCGCCCGCAGAGACCGCGACAGGACACCCGCCCACCTGGGGGAAGGAAGACCGCGAGCGGCACGGCACGGCGGCGCGCCGAGGCCAGCCCGGGAGGACGCCCCGCCGAGCAGGGCCGTGCCCGCCGGACAAAGGCGGAGCGCGACCACGCCCACGGGGCGGGGCCTCAGCCGGAAGCCGCGGCTGGCGCGCCGGCCCGTCGCCTAGGCAACGGGGTCCTCTGCGCAGAGCTTTTCAGAAAGCCCGAATTCGGGAGCTCAGGGTGGGGAGAGAGGCCGAGGGGGAGGGGAGGGGAGGGGCGCCCCCGAGACGGAACGGGGAGAGGGCCCCGGACCCCCGGGACCGGGCGTCTGCCCCGCCCCGCTTTGGGTGGTCTTTCTAATGAGAGCGGATCCTAGGGCACAGTCGGGAGGGGGTCGGGATCCTCCGCCCTCTGCGGGAGCTCAGTCCGAAAAGCAGCTCCCCTCTTGGGCCCCTTTGTCTCCAATCCGCTCCGCACCGGGCTCCGGCCGTCGACACAAAGGGAAGGCGGTGAAGACCGCGCAGGCGCGCGAGCCGCTGAGGTTGCTGGGAGCGGTGGTCCGGCCGCCTAATGGTAGGTCTCCTCCCTCCCGGCAATTGCGCATGCGCCATCACTTCCGCCCTGCACGGCCCGCCCTCTCTCTCCGCCCATCGTGGGACGCGGGTTTCTCGTAGTCGGAGCCTGGGAGGAGTTATCCTTACTCGCCCCGCCTCTCCTTCGTCTTGATTGGCCCACTGAGGTGAGGGCGGCAAGTGGATTGGGTTTCGGTGTTGCCAGTCTGCTTCGGGCCTTATTTATACCCCGCTCCGCGGCGGGTCGCTGGAATGAGGGGCTGGGTGTGGGTAGGGAGGTGACGCCCTGGGCGAGCGATGGCCTCGGCGGCAGCGGTCCCACAACTCAGTCGGTTCCGACCGGCTCTTCGGCGGGGCTGGCTGCTCCCCACATTCCCCGGAGGTTCTGCATTGCCGCCCGACAGGCTCTGCTTCCAGTGCAAAACTCTTAGTAAAGTTTGCGCTTCGCCCGCCGACCCTGTCCACGCGACCCCCTCCCCAGCCAAAGTGACAGACAAAGCCACACCCCCGCACTGCCGGGCCGGTGAGGGGCGTGATGCGGTGGGGGCGGGCCCCGCGGGGAGGGGGGCGGTGGAGGGGCGGGGCGCATGCGCGGTGCGGGGGGCCGAATGTTTCCCAAGTGTTTGAAACTGGTATTTGGGTTCTCCACGTTGGACAAGTGCGGCGCGGCGGGCGGCGCGCGCCCCTTCCCGCGCTCGCTCGGCCCCGGGCCTGGCCCTTGCGCCGGGGTGCGCGCCCGCACGCGCCGCCCGCGCCCGCCCCGCGCCCGAGGCCGCCGAGCGCCGGCCGGGCCCGCCAGGCGCCGGGTCCCCGGGCCCAGGCGGCGCGGCTCGCAGATGTAGCGGCGCGGGGCCGGCCGGAGGGGGGGCGCCGGCGGGCGGGAGCTTTGCATTTTGCAGCGCTGGGCTCCGAGGGGGCGGGGGCTGGAGGAAGCGGAAAGCCGCGCCGAGTCGCCGGGGACCTCGGTGAACCATGTTGAGCCCTGCCAACGGGGAGCAGATCCACCTGGTGAACTATGTGGAGGACTACCTGGACTCCATCGAGTCTCTGCCTTTCGACCTGCAGAGAAACGTCTCGCTGATGCGGGAGATCGACGCGAAATACCAAGGTACGGCGGGATGGATGGGCGGGGGCGGTCGCTCCATCCCCGCCGGTCGCGGCGCGCTGCGGGGCCGCGGGCCGTCCTGTTCCCCGCCCGGAGGAGCCGCGGGCCCGCGGCGTCCGCTCTGGCCGGGCAGGAACAAAAGGTCTGGAGCCTCTTTGATTCGCCAAGGTCCTTGTGAGCGAAGCCCGGACACAGAGGAGGAAGGAGGAACGAGAGGTCTCAATGCCGGGCTGCGCGAGCAAAGCGCTCTTTGTAGTGAAGTGACGAGGCGGGGTGCTGCGGGGGAGGGGGCGCAGGGGGCGCAGGCTAGGGCGCCGAGGGAGGGATGTGCCGCGGTCGCTGGGGCTGAGGGGCGCAGCGACGGGGCTGCGCGCAGGGCTGCTGGGAGGGCACTGCGGGTGGCGGGTCCCCGGCTCTGCTCGCCATCCCCAGAGCCACCCCCACCCAGTCCCGAATCTGAGTGTTATATAAAGTCCGGGGTCGGCACTCCGCGCGGTGCGGCCCCGGTCGCCGCCGCCCCCGCCCGATCCCCCGGGCCTCCTGTGGAGCTGGACACCGAGTACGGGCCGCCGTGCGAGGGGCGGCGCGGCCGGGTGTAGTTCGCGGAGGGCGAGGGCTTTATTCTGTGCGTGCGGTGGGGAAGGGGAGGGGATGGAAGGGAGGATGGGTCGAGGAAGTCGCCCATCTGCTGTGCTCGGGGGGCGCGGGCAAAGCTTGTCGGCTTGCAGAGGAACATGGCAGGGAAGAGGACCTGTGGGTCGTTCTTTGCAGCCCCGGCTGCCCAGAGTTCCGGAGAGAGGCGGAGGGTTCGTATCCGCTGGGAATTGTTGGCTGTTGGGGAAACTTTCCTGCCAGGTCAGGCACGCCATTGGGGTCTGTGCATGGGACGCGGATCGTCACTCGGAGTTTACTAATGTTTACAGGGCTGCGCAGCAGGGAAACGGAAGCGTGGGGGGAGGTGGGAAGCGACCGCACGCCCCGAGCACGCAGGGAGACCCCGCGGGTATGGCGCCCCTGCGCGCTCTAACCGAGCTGGGGCTTCGCAGCGACCTTTATAGGGGCCTTATTAGCATATTGTGAACGTCCCGCTTTGGCGTCCTTGTGATTGGTCTTGGCGTCCCCCATGGAATGTCCTTATCAGTCCGCCGCTGAGCTGTTGGTTGCTGAGCCGGATGAGGGTGGGCATTGCGCAGTGACTGGCACGGGTCTCTGTTTCCGCTGCCTTCTTTTTTCTTCAGAGGGGCGGGGAGGAGGAGGAGGTCGAGTTGATTTGAATGTCTTTGGGTCGCCTGGCCTCCGGCCTCGGATTGGCCATTGGCGCTGCGAGGGCGGGCCTTATTCGTTGATTCTGTGCCGTGATTGGCGCCCCTCTTGGCCCCCGCCCTACGGCCTGCGAGCCCCACAGGCGGTGGCTCTCGGGGCGGGGCGCGACGCCCGCCGACCGCCTCCACATTGGCTGAGGGCCCGGCCCCGCCCCTGTCCCTCAGGGGCCCGAGCCTGGTCGTTTCCGGCCGCCGAGCAAGGGCGGCCCCGGGGGTCGGGGGGAGGCAGGCCTGTCTTGGCCCCGGGGCTGCCGGGGATGCTGCTCAGGCCTCCTGCTCGGGCCCCAGGGACTCGCGGGCAGGCCCGCCGGTGTTCCGGGCGCGGCGGCGCGGAGCGGGGGAAGCGTGAGTGGCCCGGGGCCGGTGCCTGGCGAGGACGAGCCGGCGGCCCCGAGGGCCCCGAGGGCGCCGAGCGAGGCGGCGACTCGGGGGAGCGAAAGAAGATCGGAGGGTTCGTGGTCACCGGCCCCGTTCATTGTCGCTGTCCGGAAGCGCGTCTTCCGATTGTGGTGGCATCCCCCAGAGTTACTGTGTTGCTGCTTCGGGAGCAGGTGTCCGCGGAGGGAGCCCCCGCTGCGGAGCTCGCTCCCCCTGCGGAGAGGGGCGGCTGAGCTGCGGGGAGTAGTCGCCGCCCGTTTGGTGGGCCTCACTGGAGACGAGGGGAGATGCTCACTTTCCGCTTCAGTTGAAGGGCCTGTGTTGAGAGTCGAACTTGGCCGGCGGTCTGGCCTTGGTGTACGTCATACGTCAGCTGGAGGCTAGTTCAGAAGAACGGACTAGAATTAGTTTGCCCACTTCAAGTGGTACTGAGGCCGTGCTTGCATTACTGAGTTCAAAATTATTTTTGCACTGTTTCAACTGTTTTTTTAAATACCCACCCCGCCACGGAAGTCCGCTGCTGCTGCTTTCTTTCTTTTTTTTCAAGATTTTATTTATTTGACACAGAGAGAGAGAGAGAGAGGGAGGGAACACAAGCAGGGGGAGCGAGAGAGGGAGAAGCAGGCTCCCGCGGAGCAGGGAGCCCGATGCGGGGCTCGATCCCAGCACCCTGGGATCATGACCTGAGCCAAAGTCAGACGCTTAAGGACCGAGCCACCCGGGCGCCCCCGGAAGCCCGCTTCTTAACGAACGCCAGTGCAGCCTTTATATAAAGTTAAGATACGTTCCTAGTAGTTGGGCAGACCAGATGAGGTTGTGCTGCAGTCTCATTTCGGCCCTAAACCCCTTCCGTGGTACCACTGCTTCCTTACAGGGATGCGGGTGTGCAGCTTTTCGGAAGGAAGGTCAGCCGCGCGTGGAGCTGACGGAGCTGGGAGAAGCTCCTGGTGTCCCCGCGCGGCGCGCGCCTGCTTAGACCCGGTGCTGCTCTTGTTTACCGCGCGTGCTGCAGCGGCTCGGTGGATAGAGCCCTTTGCTTGGGGAGTCTCAGAGATACCTGTCATTGTGCAGGTAGCAGAAGCCCTTCTTGGTAATTTCGTGCTGTGACTTTTGTTTCTTTCGCGCGCCTGAGACTTCACATGGCTGTAAGCTTGCTTGTGATGTAAAAAGCTGTATGTTACTGAATTTTATGTTAGCGACGATTGCGTTGCTTTTTCTATGAAAGGCTACTATTGTCTTTATCGACTTGGTTACCGATTAAACCAAAAATAGCTTTGTTATAGTAATAGTAATATGCAATTAATTTAAAATAAATTGGAGAAACTCCTGTTTTAACATCTATGAAATAGAACTTAGATAAATTGAGCCTATTTATTTTCAGAATCAATTATTCCCAGACACTATGAGACTGTGGCATTCCTCCTTTCTGGGGGCAGATAGTCTACATTGTTTTTCTAGGAAGTATCTTCAGAGCTGTCTTTAGCTTAAAAATATAGCCTGGAAAATAATACTTATATTTAGGTAAGCTTCACTGTTGGTCTGAGTTCATGTATTTATTTCAGTGTTAGGTTTATGCCTTATAACTATTCAAAGATAAGATCGGGAAGGGATGAGGGGTTACATTTTATATATCCTGCCTCCCACACTTGCTACCTGGAGAGTAAAATTGCCTTATTTTAAGAGATTGCAAAGGGTTTCAGGAGAAAAATCTGATACTGTTTATTCATTTTTTAGTAATCTCTACACCAAATGTGGGGCTCGAACTCACATCCCCGAGATCAAGAGTTGCATGCTTTTCTGACTAAGCCAGGCAGCGCCCCCTGATACTACTTTGATTTGTTACTCTTTGGGAAAAATAACTCTGGGAATTTGTTTGTATTATTTTTTTTAAAGATTTTATTTATTTATTTGAGAGAGAGCACATGAGAGGGGGGAGAGTCAGAGGGAGAAGCAGACTCCCTGCCGAGCAGGGAGCCCGATGCGGGACTCGATCCTGGGACTCCAGGATCATGACCTGAGCCGAAGGCAGTCGCCCAACCAACTGAGCCACCCAGGCAACCTTTCTGTTTGTATTTAAAAAGGTTTGTGTTTTTTTTAAGATTTAATTTATTTATTTGACAGAGAGAAAGACGGCGAGAGAGGGAACACAAGCAGGGGGAGTGGGAGAGGGAGAAGCAGGCTTCCTGCTGAGCCGGGAGCCTGATGCAGGGGCTCCTTCCCAGGATCCTTAAATAGGTTTTTGGCAAGAATATTTATTTTCCTTATTTCAATCAAGATTATTTAACAACTTTTATATCTTGAGAAATTGCCTAATTACACTTTCCAAATTACATCTTAAAATCATATACACTTTTTTAAGATTTTATTTTTAAGTAATCTCTACACCCGGTGTAAGGCTTGAACTCCCAACCCCAAGATCAAGAGTCACGTGCTCTACCGACTGAGCCAGCCAGGCACCCCCTGTACAAAGTTTAAATTTAGTACTGAGGGTTTTTTTAGTTTTGGTAATGTTTTAAAATCTGTTGAGTTTTACAGATGTGAATGTGTATTGTCTTAAGCAGTAAATGCAAAAGCAAAATCTGACCCCTTTGTTTTAAGGCAAAGCTAGGTTGTCTGACTTATTGTGACAAACCAGTCTTGTTTTTAGTAATACAGAGGAATAGCAAGGTTGGATGACAGTGATGTGACTGATAAACTGAGGCCCTGGGTCACTAGGTAGTATTTATATACATTCTCTGATTTAATAGGGTATTCTAGACATTGATGCATTAAAATAAAGGGAATAAAGGCATTTAAGTTAGAAGAATATTTGAGTGAAAACTGGAAATACAGGACATAAATCAATTAATTTTATGGAAAGTAGAAGTTGGGCATCAGCACTTCACCTAAATTTAAACTTTCCCCCTTAGTTGCTGATCCCAAGAGTAATGTTACCCATGCTTCTGAATGCACAGAGTCCCTTGGGGAGCTTTGATTGGCACTTTGCTAAATGGGAATTGTGTTGCATTTGTATTTAGTTCCAGGGATTTTTTTCAATAGGGGGAAAAAAGGTCTGCTCAAAATGCCTGTAGGTTATAGGATTTTCATACTAGGAAATCTTGCCTTGATTTTTTCTGTCCTTTGCGATTACTTTTTTATAGGCCAGAGAATTTAAATAAAGGGCTCAGTTGTGTTTATAGAATGGACATAATGCTTATTTTTCCTTTGCAGAAATCCTGAAGGAACTGGATGAGTATTATGAGAAATTGAAACGCGAGACAGACGGCGTCCAGAAGAGGAGAGTGTTGCATTGCATTCAGAGAGCCCTGATTCGGAGCCAGGAGCTGGGCGACGAGAAGATCCAGATCGTGAGTCAGATGGTGGAGCTGGTGGAGAACCGGACCAGGCAGGTGGACAGTCACGTGGAGCTCTTTGAGGCCCATCAGGAGGTCAATGACACCACTGGCCACAGCGGCAAAGCCGGCCAGGATAAGTCCAAGAGCGAGACAATCACGCAGGCGGAGAAGACCAATAACAAGAGGTCCCGGCGACAGCGCAACAATGAGAACCGAGAGAACGCTGCCAATAATCATGACCATGATGACATCACCTCAGGAACGCCTAAGGAGAAGAAAGCAAAAGCCTCCAAGAAGAAGAAACGCTCCAAGGCCAAAGCTGAGCGGGAAGCGTCCCCTGCAGACCTTCCCATCGACCCGAACGAGCCAACGTACTGTCTGTGCAATCAGGTCTCCTATGGAGAAATGATCGGCTGTGACAATGACGAGTGCCCCATCGAGTGGTTCCATTTCTCCTGCGTGGGGCTGAATCACAAACCAAAGGGCAAGTGGTACTGTCCCAAATGTCGAGGGGAGAACGAGAAGACCATGGACAAGGCCCTGGAGAAATCCAAAAAGGAGCGGGCTTATAACAGGTAGTTGGCGGAGCTCGCGCAGCAGGGAGGAGAGCGGGCGGGCCAGTGTATTTATTACGTCAGTCACTGCCCGTCCTGGGGCGCAAGGACCGTACATTGTATATTTTTAAAGAGTATTAGAAAAGGAGCCGTTCCTTTTGCAGGGACGGCAGTGATCCTCTGCTTTTGTTTTCATTGGTACACACGTGTAACAAGAAAGTGGTCTGTGGATCAGCATTTTAGAAACTACAAATATAGGTTTGAATTAAACACTCAAGTGAGTCTCAGACTGATTTGTTTTGTTTTTGTTCTGCTGGGGTGGGGGTGACTTGGAAGCAACCTAACATGTTTCATGTGGAAAGAGATTTCATTTGGCATCATTAGCATTATTTTAATAAAAATAATGTTACCGCTTCATGAGCACGTTTTTAAACATTAGCCAGATTGCCAAGCTTATAGCCCATAGCAAATTTGTTTCTTGCTATGATAACGTATATCCATATAACAATCCAACGTAAAGATTTAAAGTTTGAAGGTTATTTTTTAGACAGGTAAATGGTTAAGTTTTACATGACAGACATTTTTCTATTACTGGCCTGTTCCCCAAGTGGCCTTTTTTTTTTTTTTTAAGATTTTATTTATTTATTTGACAGAGAGATAGCGAGAGCCAGGAACACAAGCAGGGGGAGTGGGAGAGGGAGAAGCAGGCTTCCCGCAGAGCAGGGAGCCGGTGCGGGGCTCAATCCCAGGACCCTGGGATCATGACCTGAGCCAAAGGCAGATGCTTAACGACTGAGCCACCCAGGCGCCCCTCCAAGTGGCCTTTTTTAAATGACTGGGCACAGTTTTTATTAAACCACATGGAAGTGGTCTAGTCGTGGAACTTCAGATCACACTTTTTTGCTATCACACATCTCAGTGTGGCTCCATGTTTCATTCATACAGGGCGTATAAATGTACATTTCAAGTGAACTTGCACTTGCTGCTTTGTAATTGGAAGCCTTTGTAGAACCGAGGTGTGTTTCCTGCTGCTGTGTGCATGAGAGCTTACAGATGTGAGGTCCAGAAATAAGTGAAATTTGACCGGTTTCCTCCTCTTGCAGTGTATTTTAATTTGGGTGTAAGTAATTTTTAAATTGTTTTAAAAATCTGTATACCAGCAGTTTAGGCAAAGCCTTAAAGCACATTTTTTTAAATTGTGCTTAATAATGAAGTAGAAGTACCTAATTGCCAGCAAATAAATGTCAAAACAGAGTATATTTTTAGACCAGGGGTTAGGAAATTACTGTCCATAAGCCAAATCCAGCCCACTGCCTGTTTTTGTAGGGCCTGTGAGCCAAGAATGAGCTTTACATTGTTAAGTGGTTTTTTTTTCTTTTTGTTTGTTTTTTTGAAAGAGAGTGCGAGCAGGGAAGGGGCAGAGGGAGAGGGGGAGAGAGAATCTTAAGCAGACGTCATGCCCAGTGTGGAGCCCCTCAGGGGGCTGGATCTCACGACCCTGAGATCATGACCTGAGCCTAAATCAAGAGTTGGATGCTCAACCAACTGAACCACCCAGGTGCCCCTGTGAAATGTTTTAAAAAAAAAAAAAATCGAAAGAAGAATCCTGTTAAATAACACATGGACGTTGTAATAAAATTCACATTTTAGCGTCTGTAAGTAAAGTGTCACTGGCACACGGCCATCCATGCTCATTCACTGAAGCATCGTCTGGGCTGCTTTGTACGACAGCAGAGTTGTTTGCATCAGGCATCAAATGACCCCCAAAGCTGGGATCGCTTATTTTCTGGCCCTGTGCACAAGAGGTTTGCTGACCTCTGATGTAGACTAACTTCATTTCTTTTTTTTTTTTTTTTTAAAGATTTTTTATTTATTTATTTGACAGAGAGAGAGACACAGCGAGAGAGGGAACACAAGCAGGGGGAGTGGGAGAGGGAGAAGCAGGCTCCCCGCAGAGCAGGGAGCCCGATGCGGGACTCGATCCCAGGACCCCGGGATCATGACCTGAGCCGAAGGCAGACGCTTAACCAACTGAGCCACCCAGGCGCCCTAGACTAACTTCATTTCTAAGCAATAATCTGGTTCCCATTTCAAAGTGAAACTCGGTGGAGAGAGTTTGTTTCCTCCCATCTCTTGTGAAGCCGCCACAAGGAAGAACTGGGATCATTGTAGCTTCTAAAGCTCTATGTGGCTTGATTTCCATAAAACACTACGTTGTTTTCTGATTGTTTACTTCATTTGACATTGAGAACTTTATTTGTGCCAGACAGAAATCCCTCAGTGTTTTACAGTGAATTTCCATTATAGAGACTATTTGGTAGAGAAATGCAAATTGTAGTTGATTATACATTAAAATGTGAACTTTTTGAATATCAGTACCTACGAATAGGCATTTACTTTCCAGCAAAACTTCAAAAACGTTTCAGAATCTTCTTGAATGTTAAAATTCAAGATTCACCTAGAAAATAATAAGAGGTTTTTTCTATGAAAATAAGGTACTAAAATACTTGATGACAGTCCAGTGCAATAAAAGTGGTTTAGAAGAATCTTTGCTTATATGAAATTCCACTTGCTAGTTTCTACCTCTATTTTAATTAGAGCTAATAATGAAAATTACGTTATGGGAGTGAAGATTGACTAGAACATAGTTGCTAATACTGGATTTCTTCATATTTAACAGTTTTGGGGTCTATAAATGGCTGTAGTAGAGAGACAGGCACAGAGGCTAATCTTTGCTGGGTTTGAACCCATCTTTGTCCCTTAGGGGTTTGATCTTGAATAAATAGCTTAACAATTGGTCCATGGTTCACTTTTAAAATAATTGTTTTATAAAGGGTGCTTCTGAGAAATAAATCAGGTTAAGTGAATAGGAGCCTGGCATGCAGTTAATCAAATGCTGGATATTTTCCCCCATGTTTGATGAAGTTTCCAATAGGGACAGATGGCTAGGCATTCTTTCTTCTAAACACGTGGAACATTATAGGGCAGATTTTGTTAGATTTGGCGGTCTTAAATCACTTTTATTATTTCCAGTGAAGAGTAAAATCACACGTGAGTACTCGGAACATCAAGATTTAGGCTTTAGATCATGATTAGATACAGGAGTAGGAAGATGCAGGTGGCTCTGGGAAGCAGCGCGAGGGGGCTGGAGTCTGTGGAAATAGACACCGCTAGGCTAGCTCTTGTAGACTGCTGCTTCTACTTATTTGTTTGTTTATAAAAGAATTTTTTAATTGAGGTATAATTGACATAGAACGTTTTAGTTTCAGATGTACAACATAATGACTGGGTATTTGTGCGTATTGTGAAATGCTCACAGGAAGTCTAGTTAACATCTGCAACCACAGTTACAAAATCTTTTTGTCTTGTGATAAGGACTTGTAAGATTTACTCTCCTAGAAGCTTTCCAATCTGCCAGATGGAGTCACACTGCAGCAGGTCACCTCCCCATGCTGTAAAGTCAGCGGGAGGTTTGTATCTTTAGACCCCCCTCACCCGTTTCGCCCAATCCCATTCCCTTCTCTGGCAACCGTCGGCTGTTTGCACTTAACCACCGAGTTATTACAGTTCAGGGAAACAATCTCAAGTGTTCCCGTGGGAATGAATTTTAACCTGGCCCAGGAAACGTGGCTCCTTCGGTTAACTAGTGTGCATTGCGAGGCCCTGGCGTGGCGTTCCTGGGGCAGAAGGGGCTGTCCCTCCATCCCGAGAAGGAACCCTGCAGTGTCAGGACCCACCGGCCACCCCCGCAGACGTGCCTTCCAGTGACTCGGACGCTGCAGTGTGGTCCTCTTGGTACCCAAGACTAGCACAGGGGGCAAGTGCTGAAATCAGGAAGTGCTCACTGATCTAAAAGCCACTGTACCGCTACCTACTTATCTTAGAAAGGACAGTTACGTACTTGAAATGTCCTTCTGTATCTCATGTTCATACAGTGTTCCAGGTAAAATGTATCCAGATGTTAAACCTTTCCATGAGGCAGAGTTACTTTTTGTGCAGCCACGTTTAAAGACATAATGTGCTTTTGCAGGACATGAGCTTGGTCTGTTCCATCTAAAGTAATGTATGATTCTTCGTGATCCCTACGTGTATAGAACAAGATCTCCCGCTCTGTTTCAGCTTCTAACCTGTCCCGCTTTAGTCTTGGGGCCCAGGTGGTTTTAAGCAATTCGGGAGGTAGCCTTCCGGCTTCGTTGAATCCGGGGAAACTGCTAGTCAGCAATGACTTCTCACCCACCCTCCACAAGTGTACGGGGCCCCCTCAGGAAGGTCACAGCAGGGGGCGTGTTTGTCATGAAGCAAAACAGCCTCCTTAGGTCTTTAGGGGGGCTTTGTTTCAGAATATTTATTCAGTTGTTTTCCTCACAGACCAAACACTAGTGTGCTGTGTAACCCCCCTCCCCAAAGGGTGACAACAAATACATAGTTGTAACTGGAAAGAAGAAAAGCATTAGGCCACTTCTCTTGCCTCAAATACTTGTATTACCTGATTTTGTTCATAAATGTTGATGCTCTCTCCACTTAAAAAGAAGTCCCTGCAAGCAGTAACTGGTTAAGCCTGGTTTGTGCCATTCAATGCTTCATTAAACCAGAGTCTTATTAAAGGAGAAAATGCTTGGGCTTAAGTCAACTTTAAATAAGACCATTCGTCTGGTATATACGGCCACTATGTTAGGGACTTTGTATTCCTGATGTTAACTCTTCCTCACGGCCCTGCCTGGGAAGATGCTAGTGTCCTGGAGAGGGTGCCAAGACCCAGGTGAGGGGCCCTGCCTCACACAAGGCCATACGTCCCACCTTGGCTGCAAAACCTGTGTCCTCTCACCCCCAGGCTGCCCATGCAGATGGGCTTAGCGGTCAGCACACGGCGCTGTTGGCCCCAATGAGCGGATGCTGAGAGTGGAGCTAAGTATCTACACTGGTCTTGTCTCTGTTCTCACTTCCTGTGTGATGGGGAGTTACCCTTGGTTTAGCACTAGGAAAACAGGAAGACCTAAGAAACTCGCCTGGTCTGGGAGTAGGGCTGGAATAGGGGCCCAGGGCAGTCAGCCTGGGGTCTTCATTGCCCGGCTTCTCACGTGACTGAAAGAACCACGCTGCTGAGCCCAGGAGGGCTTTTTCCTCCAGCTGAACCAGTGCCTTGTCCTCGCCCACCTCTCATCTTGCCTTGTAGTAAATTTCAGGACTATCTTTAACCCCTAAGAGTTTAACCAGTTTATCAGGCACAGGGTGCCATCCCAGAATCAGTACGAGATGTGAAGTCAGAAGATCTGAATCGGGACTGAGTCCAGTCTAACGTTGGGGAGGTCACTCGTCTCGCCCAGGGTCCTCACAGGCAAAATAAGGCCAGTGATCGTGCACGTCCCACGGGTAGGAGGATCGGCCCAGCTCATTTTCGAAAGTACTGTTCAAATGCTGAATACTACGCAAAGAATTTTGGTCCACTATCAATGATTCTAGCTAACAGATGTGTTCTGCGAAATGGAAGTGAGATTCCTTACAGCTGGAGAGAAACAGGCCAGTCCAGCCGTAAAATAAAGTGGCCGCTTCGTCTTCCATTCCGTGGGAGGGGTGGGTCTGCAGCTGCTTGTCTGTAAATGAATCTGTTTCTCTTTGTAGAACACAGAAGTGGAGAAATACAGTTAAATTTGCAGCAACAATCAAAGCCTATTTCTTGTTGACTCACCTCTTAATTGAATTCAAGCAGGCAGAAAATTAGTTCCGTCCCTTCCGTGCGTAGGTGAGGAAATCAAAGCTCAGAACGGGGACGTCACTCAGCAGGTCAGTGGTGGGGCTCCTGGGCCGGATGCAGGTAGTCCGGTCCCTCAGGCTGGCGGCCGTCCTGCCGCCCTGCTGCCCTGCCGCCCTCTGCTGTCGGAGCCTGGGCCTGGGCTCCCTTCTGTAAGCGTTAGGCGGAGCTGCTCTTCATGGAAAGTAGAGGCCTTCAGGAAATATGTGTTCAGTAAATAATCAATCCATGAATTGACATAGAAAAACAAGACATTTTCTTTTCTAACTTCTAAATGTTCTGTGATCACACCTAAGACAGAATTTCCAATTTGTTTGTGGGAAGGAAATATTTTTACGAGAGATGTATAGGCCATTACAAATGCTATATTTCTAAATGATTAATATTTGAGAAATTGAATTTGGTTAGATTTTGATCACCCCAGGCATTCGATATTTTCTATTATAAAATTTTATAAAAACAAATGTAAATAATTGTTCACTGGGTTTATTAACAATCTATCCACGTACAAAGATGCTTTAAATGGTTTGCTGTCTCCCAAATTTTGTTTTTTTCCTTTGTGAGAAGTTGCTTGATAAGTATTTGTTTTCTCCACCATTGTATTTAAGCATCTCTGGGTTGCAAGTAAAAGTAATTGACGGACTGTGCCTGAAGCAAAGATGGGAAAGGTAAGAGCCATGTCAGAAGACCCAGGAAGCTGAGCAGCAATGAGGACAGGCAGCATAGCTCCTGTGACCCCAGGACCGGTTCTGCTCAGCTGGACAGACGCACTTGGTGGCGATGGCCAAGGGCAGACAGGGTGCTAGACGCTGAGCCACTGCAAGTCTGGCTCGGACAGGCAGGTACTGTGTTGGGAGTAAACTTTTCCTTTTTTTTTAAAGAGGAGACCTTGCATCCTGATATCCAAAATCTTTTTTTTTTTTTTTTAAGATTTTATTTATTTATTTGACAGAGAGAGACACAGCGAGAGAGGGAACACAAGCAGGGGGAGTGGGAGAGGGAGAAGCAGGCTTCCCGCAGAGCAGGGAGCCCGATGCAGGGCTCGATCCCAGGACCCCGGGATCATGACCTGAGCTGAAGGCAGTCGCATAATGACGGAACCACCCAGGCGCCCAAAACTTCCACTTTTAAAATCCTTCTTACCCTGATAGATGCCACGTTTCAAACGGGTAATGGCAGCCACCATGGCAACCAGACTGGATTTGGCTTTATTCTTTCCGCATTAGTTGGGATATGCTTAGGGAATGGAAATTAACTTGTATAGTTCAAGGTAAGTCAAAATTAGGTGGTGGTGAGGATTATAACTATTCCATGGTCAATATACATGATTTCCCAAAATATTTTTTGACCCTTTGCATCATTGATCTGCTCCCTCAACATGATTAAAACTTGAGTAATGGTGAAATACTCTCAGGGCACAAAGGTCTGTCATAAAGCATCAGGTGGTTGCAGGCAGTGATGCATAAGGCTGGACTTGCCCGGCATGTCTCGCAGCTCATCATGCAGTGTCAAAGGCTGATAAGGAGCATTTCACTTTGCAAACTTCGAAACCTTATTTCTAGACTCAAGAACATTAGCCAAAGGGGAAACTTGACCAAGCTGCAGAAGGGAAGGATGAGAACGGAATGTGTGAGGACAATCCTGAGACAGTTTGTGGGGTTTATTCCTATTACTTCATACCGACAAGTCATCGGAACGTTCAGCATCAAGCACATCATTCTCACTTAGTAACCTCGGACAGGATGTACCGGTGTGGTGCAGATCTCAACAAAGTTCCAGTTCTTGCCACTGAGTCTGCGGTGCCACCTACTTTTTGAAAAATACAGACAACGAAATAGACCACAGAAAAGCAAATTGGACCTAGAGGCAAAAATTCATTGTGGCAGGATCACTGGGGTCACGGCTAATGTCTTGAGGAAGCGACATACATGGACGGATTTGACGATTTTATTTCTTCCTTTACTCCTAGAAGGTTACTTTGTAGTATGAGTCTTAGAACAAGTTTATTGATATTTTTTAATATCTGGCATAGGGAAGAAGCCGACGAATGACATATCTGGGGTGTGCACGGGTAAAAAATTGTTCCATCACCAAAAGCATTACATTTCCCCTCGACAACAGGGCAGCTTGGGCTCTTAACCGTTGGGGGTGCCAGGCCAGTATTCCTTAAGCACAGAAAAAGCAAAAGGTCAACCCCAGAAGTAAAGATGACAATAAGATCAAACATAATATTGAGAGAGTTGGTATGCTCTGTCTGCAGAAGCCACGAAAAACTTGTGATCGAGATGCTGGACCAAGCCTCAAACAGTAAAAAAGCTGGATATATTTCATACGAGGGAGGGAAAAGGTTTTAAATCTGTACCTAAGAGCAAACACAAGAAAGGAGATTCCCCCCAAGCAAAGCAACTCAGTAGGAAGAGTGAGGAGCTGCTGAAGAGGTATGCAGGCCACCAACCTGGCCGCTCATACAGTGCCCACTGCTGGCCCCGTGGGACTGTGGGGACCAGTGGGGACCCCAAGCCCATCGAGACATATCTTCCCCGGAATGTTTTTCTGGAGCTAGCAGGACAATGACTTTTCCATTGGAACTGCTGAGGTGTGAGATTTGGATCTGGGGCTTCTGGGGGTTGCCTTGTGCACCATGTGGAGAAAGTCATCCTGGAAGATGGAGAAAAACATGGTCCTTGATGGCATCGTTCGAACCCCTGAGATGGCCAATATGGGAGTCAAGAAACCCTTTTGTTCTTTTTTTTTTTAAAGATTTTATTTATTTATTTATTTGAGAGAGAGAGAATGAGAGACAGAGAGCACGAGAGGGAGGAGGGTCAGAGGGAGAAGCAGACTCCCCGCCGAGCAGGGAGCCCGATGCGGGACTTGATCCCGGGACTCCAGGATCATGACCTGAGCCGAAGGCCGTCGCTCAACCGACTGAGCCACCCAGGCGCCCCAAGAAACCCTTTTGTTCTTAAGCTACTTCAAGTCGGGTTTGTACTAACCGCCCGCATTGCCCAACCCGGCTCACCTCCCCAACAACACCGCTCCATCTGTCTTTACAGATTTCTTTCGAGAATATTGTACACACGCCTCGGTGGTGGTTTTGAAGCCAAAAATTTATCCTCTTCCCATCAAAGGCGGGGCTAGTTTCCCTCCCCTGGCCTCTGGATGAAGCTCCGGCCTGGCCTGGACTCACAAGGAGAGACCACAGCTGGGACACCCCGAGATTTCCCAGCTGATGGCGGACAAGGCAACACAGCTTCTGGGCAAACCCAGTCCGTGGAGCCTCACCCTTGGGACACAGCCTCCCGCAAAGGCCACACGAGTGTTCCTGCCACAACCTCAGCTGAGTCCCCTGGGCAGCCAGGGCTGCCCGACTCAGCCACCAGACACACGAGTGAGTCTGCAGGTGGTTCCACGTCCAGGTGACACCCGAGTGCACAGAGATGAGCTGTCCACATCCCCCAAGCCCTTCCCAAAGTGTAGGTGCCAGAGCAAATTAAGTTGGGGGTGGTTTGTTACCTAGCCGTAGGTAACCTCTGCAAACACGCAGTTTTGCCTCGCTTTGTACTTAAATGTCATCGTAGCCTATGTATGGATCTTACGCTAGCTCATTTTTTCCCTTTGTAACACTTTGCCCTGGAGCTCTTTCCATGTCAATACATATAGATTAATTAACCTATAATTAACTACTGCAAATAATTCTGTCCTCATTTATTTAAACACTCCTCTGTTGATCAACATTTAGATTGCTTCAACTTTTTCCTTATTGCAAGCCATTCTAAGATAAATATCTCATCATGCACATGTGTTTTTGTCTATGATACAGAGAAGAAATTGTAATAGAAAAAACTCACACTTTTATCTTTTGGCCAAATTGCCCAAAAAGCTGTGCTTTTACACTTCTACCAGCAGTATATGAACTTATTTACTGCCCCTTATCTTTATCATCACTGGATATTAACAAAATAAATGTTTTTCCCATCTTGAGAAAAAAATATAATTATACATGATACATTACATTATAATTAACATATTATAAACTACTTAAATGTTACATACTTTATACATACTATATAATACATACATATTGTATATTTTATATATAAATATATGTATTTAAATATGATTTGCACTTTCCTTGTTTGTAGTGATTTTTCCGCAACTCTTCAGGTGGCCATTTGTATGTATTCTAAAATTACTAATTTTCTTATTGCTTTGTTATGTGCAAATATTTTCTCCCAGTCTGTTGTTGTTTTATTTGTTCATAGCATCTTTTGTCATAAAGCAGCTTTAAATTTTGAGCTTGGTATCTCTGAACTTTTTTTCCTTATATGAGTTTATATTATATTTTGATTAAGAAAGTCTTTTCCACCCCAAAATTATAAAATATTCTCCTATCCTCTTTATATTTAAAAAAAAAAAAGCCTCCTTTATCCATCTGGAATTTATTTGGTGTTTGGGGTAGGGAGTTCCTGAAACTCCTTGAGTATGATGGGCCAGGGGAGCGATGCCTCCAGGTGTGGGGAGTGGCCCCTGGGGTAGCCGCCTGTGCCCTCGGTGGGGGGTGGGGGGGTCGCCAGCTGCGTGACCCCACGTGACCCCAGGTGGTGGTTTCCCATCTCCAAGGCTCAGTTCTTTCGTGAAATGGTAAGAATACGTCCACATGAAGTTCAAGTGAGAGAAGTATGTAAAAGTGCGGGGAACTTCAAATAATCTTACAAATTAACCCACACCAAGTATTTCCCCAAATGGATGGGCCATCATCCAGTCCAATGCTGAATAGTCTGTTACTTTCTCAATCCTATGAAATGTCAACTCTATTATATGCTAAAGTTTCATATATGCACGCATGTCTCAGTTTCCACTGACTGATTCCTGCAATAAGCTCTACTGTTTTTGTTGCAATAGCTTTACGGTATCTATTTTTATATTTTATAGGGCAAACATTCTACTCGCTTCCATTAGCTATTGTAGATTAATTTGGAGGATACCTATGTATTTGCTATTTGCATCTCTCATGCAGGTATATAGTGTGTGTCCATTCACTTATGGTATCTACTGTATCCTCCAGTGAAGTTTTATAGTTTTCCTCCTATTTTTTATTGGTGTTTTGCATTTTAGTTGCTACCATACATGGACCAGTTCTTCCATAATTTTGCTTTATTGGCTATTATTTGCATGCAGGAAAGCTGTTAAATTCTGTCTGTCCAATCCTTGATCTGGCCACCTTGGACATTTCCCATTAGTTGTAGAACTTCATCAGCTGACTGAGATTTTCTGGGTAAAGGATCATCAGGGTCCAGGTGCCTAGAGCTTTTCCATGGCTCTGGTTCCTTCCTGCCGACATGGGGTGAAGACCGGGGTAGAGGAGTGGAACCTTTCCACACTTGCCTAGAAATATTCTTCAGTTTCAGGATGAAACCCGACATTCTGCATTGCCAGGATTTTTGTACTTTGATTATTAGTTCTTGCACTGTATTTATCCAGGGCTTATGGGAGAGCTGTTGTAACCAAGCAGTGTATTATACTTACTAATTGATTTCTTTGGACCAGCTCTTCTAAATAGTAGTTTCAGGTCTGTCAGAGGTTCGCTGGTCCAACCTGGGTTCTTTTCTACATTCTCCTTGCTGACAGTGTGTAGGGAACCTGTGGATTCTTGTACTTTGAGTGTAGTTTCACTGAGGAATGGATGGTCCACAGCACCTCATGAGGTCCTGTCCCATGAAGTTGGAGCTGGTCCTTCAGGCACCTGCTCTTCCAAGTCTTTATTGACACCAAGTCTCCAAGATTCAGGTGGGGAACAGATACATGGGTGTGTTCATTAACCTGCTGGAAGCAAACTTAAGCATTGAAAGTACCTGATAGTATCCAACTCCCCAAAGGAAGCCTATCAGGAACTCCTAAGTCATGAAAAGGGTGTAGAAAGAGTCTTCCATAGAACATCTAGGAGCTTACCCCAAGCACACTTCTGGGGGCCACGCTTACCCGAAGCAGGGCATCCAGCAAGGCTTTCTCCCCAAGTTGGTCTTTTGGCATATCTTTGCCAAAATTCATTTTTTCTGTTTTCCCAGCTGGTTGTGGTTCCAGGAAGCATGTCATTTTTATGGAATGCCCAAGGCACTGGACACTGCTTGTGTGGCTTTTGCCACAAATGCCAACTCCATCGTCATGCTGAATTGCTAGCGGCAGTCCAAACATGGGAATGCCTTCATTCAAAGGTGTTTTTGACAACTTTTGAGGCCTTTCTAAACAGTGTGGGAAAGCTTCAACCCAACTTGTAAAGATGTCTACAAACACTAGCAAATACCGAGAATCCCTGTTGTTTTTGGCATCATGGTAAGGGCTGCCTGCCAGCCCCAGGTTCGGGGCCTCTAAGTTGTTTATCTTTCAGAACTGGTGGAGGCTCAGTCTTAGGACTGTTTGTAACACACATGTCACATTTCTGAACAGTTCTCTGAAGATCAGGACCCGCAACTTCTGGACCCACTAAAGAGAAGCGTCTCACCCATCATGGGTGCTTCAGTGAATATGGTTAGTTGTGTCTTCCATAAGATGTTCTGGAACAAGGATTCATTGTATCTCCAGCCAGCTTTAGTGTCTGCATGGTGCTCAAATGGCCATGCCCTAGCTCTTCTCAGGTCTACTTGGTTGATAGTAAGTTAAGTCTACGTCTGGTACTAAAGTCATTATAGGGGGTTTTGGAGTCTTTGTACCGACTGCCAACTTGGCAGCTTGATCTGCCCAATTGTTCCCTTAGGCAGTTCGTCTTATTTCTGGTGTCCTTAGCAGTGGACAGCAGCTGATGTGTCACGGCTGCATCCAGGTCTTCATTGTCTTTAATCCATAAAACTGTTCTAATCCATGAATATCTCAAAGTCTGGATTTTTCAATGGCAGATCCATCAAACCGGGATGACTGGAATAAACTTGTTCAAGTACCTCTATGTCTCCTTATCTGAGTGGCCCATACAATGACAGGCATGAAGACTATCTACACATGGGTCACTGTGGCAATTCCTCTCTTAAGATGACCTCAAGTTGTCCAGCTTCAGTCCAGAGGGCTTCAGGAAAAAGACCAGTTTTAGTTCAATGATTCCAAGTCAAGAAAATGGGAAAAGATTGGAAACCTTAGTTTGGAGAGTCATAGCCAGACATTTGAGGAAAGCAGAAGAATTCAGGATGCAGCCCAGTTTTATAAGCAAATAACACTCAAAGAGAACTGATCAGAACTAGAATCTAACATCCATAAATGTGTGTTACTGAAACATGAATGCACTCTCTCGAATCACCCTCATTTCCAAAGATAGTCAAATCAAGACTAATTTGTTTGTAAAATTAGTCCAATTTTAACAAACTTGGCCTAATTATTTACATAAGCACAGCAAGAATAGTGATTAGCCATATAGTTGTTTTTTTGTTCTGTTTTTAATCTGCTTTACTGGAACTTTTCATAAAGGATTTCAGATTGAAATTTTAACAGCTTCTTGAGGCTAAGAAGCCAAGTCAAATACTTTCGATCAGACTGCCTGCAATACCTATAGGTTTGGGTGAATTCTCTTCTCAAGGTCCTCAAATATCCTGAGGTTCTTGCCCCTGCCAGGAAGTGACCTTTACTCACTTGGTCAGGCTGCAGGGAACCCCATAAACAAGGTACCAGGCTGGTTTTTCCAAGGGGCTCTGTTGGCTCCATTAAGTCAGCCTTGAAGCTGTCTGGTCATGTCTGAGTCTGTGCATGTCTCTCTCCAATATGACAACCCAGTCAAAGCCTTGGTAATATGACCAATGTTTCCAATGGTGTCCTGTAGCAAGAACAGATTCTTTTTTAACTCATGCAAATAAATATATTGCCATGAAAATATGTAAATACTGAGTGTTTCTGAATTCTGAAATGGGGAGAAAAAGACAAAAGTTTCATATTTGTTTACAAAGTAATATTTTACAAAATTTCTGTAAGTCATAGGTAGCTTTAAATCTGGAAGAGCAAACATTAGAGAACCAGCAGTGTTTCAAGCAAGAGTGTTTGACACAGTTTTCCCATTAGTTCCAGAAATTCTTACTCTTACTTTTATGATCTTAAAGGTATCAGAGACCTGTATTTGTCATTACAATGCAATCGACAAGGAAATTCAGTGACACACAACATTTCAATAGTAGGATTACAAGTGATGACATTATACCAGGACATATAAAAACCTTAGGAATTCTATATAATTTCTGGAACAATCATAGTATCCCACCATATAATAAGGTTTATTATCACTAAGAAGGTTTATCATCACTTATTTGACAATGCTTCCCATGTGATTTGACATACCAAATAAAAAGCAAAATTAGTCAAAAAGACTTCATTTAGAAGTTGAACTTAGGGAAACAATTATCATGCAAATGGACGCCAAAAGAAAGCCAAGGTAGCAATACTTAAGAGTGGACAAAATAGACTTTTTTTTTTTTAAAGATTTTATTTATTTGACACAGACACAGCGAGAGAGGGAACACAAGCAGGGGGAGTGGGAGAGGGAGAAGCAGACTCCCCGCAGAGCAGGGAGCCCGATGCGGGGCTCGATCCCAGGACCCCGGGATCATGACCTGAGCCGAAGGCAGACGCTTAATGACTAAGCCACCCAGTCACCCCCAAAATAGACTTTAGAACAAAGACTGTAACAAGAGATAAAGAAGGGCACTATAATAATAAAGGGGGCAATCCAACAAGAAGATGAAACCATTGTAAATATTTATGAACCCAACATGGAATCACCCAAGTACATAAAACAAACATAAAAGACATAATGGACAGTAAAATACGATAATAGTAGGGTACACCCCTACTTACAGCAATGGACAGAAAACCAACAAGGAAACAGTGGCTTTGAATGACACACTGGACCAGATGGACTTAACATTCAGAACATTCCATCCTAAAGCAGAATACACATTCTTTTCAAGTGCATAGGGAACATTCTCCAGAATAGATCACCTATTAGCCCACAAAACAAGTCTCAAAAATTCAAAAAAACTGGTCACACCACGCACCTTTTCTGACAACAATGCTATGAAACTAGAAATCAACCACAAGAAAAAGTCTGGAAAGAGCACAAATACATGAAGGTTCAATAACATCTACTCGACAATGAATGGGTCAACCAAGAAATCAAAGAAGAAATCAAAGCACATGGAAACAAATGATTACGAAAACACAACAGTCCGAAACCTTTGGGATGCCAGGTGTTCTTATAGGGAGGTTTATAGCAACACAGGCCTACCTCAAGAAGCAAGAAAAATCTTAAACAACCCCACCTTACATGTAAAGGAGCTAGAAAAAGAACAAACAAAACCCAA